ATCGTCTTCGCTGCGCCTTGACGACCGTGAAGGAGGGTGCCAAACAGTCACGCCGTGCAATAGAGTCAATAGAGGTTCGCGCGAATCGGATTGCATTCAGTGCTTTTTTGCGGAAGCCTCATTTTGATTTTTCTCCGTAGAGTAACCCAAGCGATCAACATGGTTGTAATCGGGCGGTTTGGTCGGCACCGATACAAATAAAGCGGTATATGTCTGGCCAGTGTTGAGGAGTTTCGGTTCGGTTCGGTAGCGATACGCAATGCCACCTGCCTCCAGCCTACCAGCCACCTGCCCCCAGCCACCACCTGCCTCCAGCCACCACCTGCCTCCAGCCACCACCTCCAGCCACCTGCCACCTGCCTCCAGCCACTTCCATCTGCCACCGCTTCTTGCCTCCACCATTCCAGCCAGCTGCCTCCAACCACCCGCCGTCAGCCACCTGCCTCCAAGCGCCTCCAGCGGGCCTGGGCTGCTGGGGGCTCGGAAGCTGGAGGACTGGTGTTTGCATGGATGGCGGCTGGTGGCTGGAGGGCTGGTGATGGTGGTGTGTGAGGTTGCTGGTGGTGGGATGGTGCGATGTTCTGCGGTACGGACCGGTGCGATCGGTTCGGTACGTGACCACAGAATCGGCGATACAAGCGGTTCGGTGAGCGATGCACTGCGGTATGCGATAAAAGTCTTTTTGAAACAGCCATGATCAACCCCTGCCAACCCTTCGCATATTTCTTGGTCCTCCGTCTTTTCCATGGCATCAGCTTCTCTTATCCGTCCCCTTTTCGCCTCTTCCAATTGCTACGGAGGTGCCGCTTTCCGATTTTAGGGCCGAGCCATTTCTGTAGTCCGAACAAGAAGTTTCCATGCTTTGAAAGTAGTGCCAGCTTGAGCCGCCAGCTGCCCATTGCGACACCGGAGCTTGCCACCGTGCCAGCACTGGCCGCAGTGGCCGCCATGGATGAGACCATCAGAGAGTCGCCGTTTGCAGCTTTCCACACCCCAAGCCCGCGTCAACTGCTGAACAGACTTTAAAGTCCGCTGATGCCCCCATTCCTGTCTTTTTGCACAGTCTTTTGAGCTTGGCATGTGATCTCCCCAGGCATGCCCGGATGGCATGCTGTGGACGGACTGCACAGTTTGGCTCCAATCTGATGCCAGCGCTGGCCGCTTCAACGGCGCCCTGGTTTGGCGTGACATGGGGCTTGCATTGCCATGCCAAGGCAAACTTCAGGGCTGGGTGAGGGGCTTGAAGCATCGCTTCAAAACCCTTTGGTTGTCACCCGGCCCGAATGCCGAAAACGCATTGGGGCATTTGGGATTCATGGACCGCGGCACCATAGGGGAGTGTCATTCCATGCGGCGTGACATGATCGGAATGTCACTATTCGGGTCACGGGCTGGCTTGACGGATCAGGGCGATTGGCAGGCTCTAATACGGTGATCACTTGGGAGCCAAGTGTCCGAGTGAGGTTAGTTGAGTGTCCCCAAGAAGGCCTGTGGCTCATTTTTGCTTATTATGACCAAAAAGCAAAAAAAGAAATAGATGAAATAGTTGAAATTCTTTTTACTAATATAGCAAAATTCATGAAATTCTTTTTTATTTATAATAAATATTCAATCAATATTTCTAATAAATTCTTTTTTAAATATATGAAATTCTTATTCCAGCTCCTTCCGAGATTCTGGGTGAGTTGAAGTTATACATGATTGCAGTCGCAGCTTTGAGGCTCGTAATTACTTCAGGATCTAGACTTGAGACAAAGAATACGGAGTTGGTTTGCACGAATACCATGAGTCATGAGTCTTGCACTTGCAGTATGAAGTTAATCTTGGATTGATTTAATTATTGGTTTATAGACAAAGAGTTGGAGTCTTGCTTAAGATTTAGCCATGGGTGATTCTATGGACACTACACCGTTGGACATGGACCAAGTCCTTGGCATAATTGAAGATGTGCATGCAGAGGGGCAGACAAAACAACGAGACCAGGTTGGAACGACTGAGAAACGGCAAAAACGCAGCCTCGACAACATCGGTCTCGGACCTGTGCTAAGGCTGAGTTTATACAATTTATAATGTACAATGGTCCAATAGCTACGAGATGAGGTCTTTGGATCAGGTCAGGGAGATCGATCCTTATTACTACTTATTACTTATACTTGAAACTGCCTATGAAATATTGCAGGCGCATGCCGTACCGATGTCAGTCGGGGAGGATATCGCCGTTCGTGATGATCGAACTTTGTTCCAAGCTTGTCCGCATGCAAGTTGTGTTGCGGATTGTTCTGAAGAGGAGACCGTTGTGTTCGGCCGCTTGCACACGTGCTTGTCCGTGCTGATCAAGAGATTCGACCCAGCAAAGAAAAACATCAGTGCCTTGCCCCTGACTCTTCTTTTTGAATGCAAGGACCAGAAAGATAGTGCTATCTCTATGCTTGCATTTCGCGCGTGCATGCAAAATGTCGATGCAATATTTTTGGAACTCGACTCGGACAAAGAAACTCACAGTGGATTCGAGCCCTCCGTTCACTCTCAAGTTCAAGAAAGAGAGACTCACTGGTAGCATCATTTGGAACAATGACCTATCCGTTTGCAAATCTTTGGCAACCAGAAGTCGGACATGGGATATTTCTCGTTTGACTTTGGGGGATTTGCAACACGACCTGTCTTCTTTTCTGGTTTGTGACAAGCTACCTTATGATTTGCAAGATCTGCTGTCTGAAGCAGCACAGCTCAAGGAACAAGAGCGTGCACTCAGGGCTGTGCGATTGCTGCAGAGAGCACAGAGGAGGCCACGGCCGCGGTCTCAGAACATGCGTGGCCGGGGCGGAGGTAGACGTCGTGGCAGAGGCAGAGTCGCCCGTCCTCGTCTTGTTGCGGGTGATGACGGAGATGACGAACTGGAAGAAGAGGATAATGATGATAATGATAATGATGATGCTGCTAAGTCTGAAAATGCAGAGTGGGAGGGGAATTTCAGCGGAGATGACGAGGATGATGTTTGGGGTCTTGAACAAGCGGAGAATCCAGGCCCAGATATGGAAAGGCCCTCGAGTTCAGCAGGCCTTGTATCTTCATCCGCTGTCTCAGCTGGAAGAAGTGCGGGAGGCGATATCGATGCTGCCGCTGACGTTCTCCCTCCGCCTGCTCCCGTCGCTGAGGACCCGGGCCTGCGGGCTGTTCGCCGAAACCAGCGAAGAGGTATACCCTGGGGTCCCTTTATGTTGTCACCTATTGTGCCGCATCATGGTAGACAAACTGGCTGGGGTGCAATTTGCAACCTGCGTTGGGATAGACGTGAGGGGGCTAGCAGCACCCAGTGCAAAAACGCAGTATCCTATGGGACCATGGATGATGCTACTTGCATTCTGATACTGAAACGTTGGCTGTGCGCCGGCTTGCACGATGATGAGTTTCCCCAAACCAATCCGCGAACCCATCACGTGAAGATGGGGGGTCCGGGTTTGGTGAGTTTCGCGGAGGGCAAGAACGAGGAGGAAATGGATCTCGAGGTCGCAGCCTACCTCAGTTAATGGGTAGTCGGACTCCGTCCTGGGCTGGATTTCTCTCGTGGTACTGCATGGTCTCTCAGCGAATCTTCTTCCTGGAGTGATAGGCAGACGGGTGTCTTCTGTAGCCGCGTGTCTGAAAATAACAGCATTCTCTGTCTCAGGCTGGACATTAGTCGTAGTAGGCAGTCCTCCTTCGGAATATGACATTACATGCATGCAGCAGGACGTGTTCTTGAATTGGGGTTTGCTCAGAAGTGTTCAAATGTCTTTGACAGTTTAAGTCTTAGAAGTACTTAGTTGTTTTGCGGCAACTGAGTACCTGATTGGAGTGTTTCAAAACGTGGGCTGTACTTGTAATGCCTCCGAATGACTCTAGTGCCAGCTGGTTGTGAAGGGGGAGCGGGGGCAGGGGGGCTTCAGTTCCGTTTAAGAATTTGGACCTCCCTAAATCCTAAATCTTGCACGACAAAGTCCACAAAAGTACAATTTTTCGGATCTTCTGGAATATATTTACGATATATTTTCAATATCACTAAAAAATATTTTTACATGTTTCAATCAATTTTAGAAATATTTCAAAATAAATACAACAATTTTGGAAATGTTTGATTTATAAAATGTGAACACTAATTGTGGTTTTGTGAACACTAATTGTGGTTTTGTGAACACTAATTGTGGTTTTGTGAACGCTAATTGTGGTTTTGTGAACACTAATTTGTGTTTAGTGTTCACATTCCGTTTTCGTTTAAAAAAGTCAAAATTGTTTTAAATATTTAGAAATATTTTAAAATTGTTTCAAATATTTCTGAAAATATTACAAGGTATAATTAATATAATTTTGGAATTCACAGATTTGGATAGAACTCTGTTGTGCTTTTCTGAGAAATTACTTGCAGCACTTGGGCACAGAGCCTAGCTAAGGTATTTCCAGCACGGGCCGTGGGCCAAGCGGCAACAACCCCAACGACATCTCTCGAGCTGTGTGCAGCAGCCAGGGGGAAAAGCAATCGTGCATCGGCATTGTAGGCTGAAAACTCACTGAGAAGTTTTGAGCATTCCTGCTAGTTGGAAGCGACGACCAGGCTCGAAGCCGAGCCCTGAAAGTGAAAGTCTTTATAGGGTCGCCCGAGGAGGCAGTCCCATGCCGTAGTCAATGACTTGAGAATTGAAGGCATAGATCATGAATCATGATAGACTATAGATTCCTTTTTCCTCGGAGGTTCGCAACCAGTAGAGTGTGTCGTGACAAGCCATGGCTAGTGATAGCGACAGCAGCAGCAGCAGCTCGGCATCCAGTGCTTCTCCCTCAGCAGCCAGAAAAGCTACCAAAAGCGACGAGTACGTCCAGCTGGAACTGAGTGTTTACTATTTCTGCGTCTACTAAAGTCTTAAGTCGTATTCGTTAGTTGTCAGTCTACGTCGTAGTCACGATAACGTTTGACATCAGTGCCTGTTAAGCCTAGGAAGGGAGGGTCAGCCCAAACCTTCCGTGGCATGCTGGCATATGTGCAGAATCACTCTCCGAGCATCGTCGTGTTCGAGAATGTAGATACCATGGACGACAGGGGCGATGCTACTTCCAATCTCGGTATTCTGCTCGCAGAAATGTCGAACCGTGGATACGAGAACCAAGTCATCATGAGCGATGCTGCAATGTTCGAGCTGCGGGCTAGAAGGCGGCGTGCGTACGTGCTTTTCCTGATGCTTGGCTTTAACTGGAGAAGAGGTCGTCGTTGTAGCAGCAGTTGTGCCCGTGGCAGCGGCAGTGCCACTACCGTAGTCGTAGCGGCATTACATCATAGTCCCAGCAGTTGCAATGGTAGCGGGTTGCTCTCGTTTGAGAGGTAGTGGTAGAGGTAGTAGTGGTAGGTAGTCGTGGTGACGACTTGGTAGTAATAAGTAGTAGTAGTAGTAGTAGTAGTAGTAGTAGTAGTAGTAGAGTACTGATTCATTTTATTTCGGCTTGCTTATAATTTGGCATTGACGGTATTCCGGTATTCCGCCCAGGAAAGCAGCAGGCTCGGGAGTTTGGCGAGAGGTATATTTCATCCATGTTTGCAACGGTACGGGCCTTCATGTCATCGTGCATACGTACCTCTTGCTGTGCCACGGAGATTTTTCTTCCAAGTGACCATGCTTTTGCGGTCTCTGACCTGGAGATCTGCCAGAAAAAGCAGGAAAAGCTAAGGGAGCTCCAGGCAAAGTCGGGACCCACGGCTCAGACTTGGATGGATTCGCACATGTTTTTCGCAAGAAGTCTCAAGTTTCGTTGGGGCGAAGCCGTGCCCCGAGAACTCAAAGAGAATGAGTGGTACCAGACACTTACAGAGCGAGAGCAAGATGCCTTACGGCTGGCCAAAATCCAATCGCCGTCGGTGCTATTTCGTGATATCTCCCAAGCAGTACGCAGAGTGAATAGCCCGACACTGGATTCAGTCCCCGGGGTGCATGTGTTGCCGACTATTTTGCCGAAAATGCAGCTGTGGTACGAGAAACAATCCCGTGCATGGCTGGGATGCGAAGCCATGATATGTCAAGGCTATCCAATTTTGCCACTGAAGCGGCCTCAGGCCTGGACAGCAACGGAAGTTTTGTTGCAAGAATTCGCCGGCAATGCGATGGCCCTCCCAGTGGTGCTGGCGATCTTGCAGAGCATATTTGTATCCTTTTCATGGGCACCTGCCGCTGCTGAAGCCACGACCGCGCGCACACTGCGGAGAGCAGTCAGCCAGGAGGATGCTTGGCACTATTTTTATCACAGAATGCACTATTAATTTTGGGATCTTTTCCACGGCCCCCTGATCGCAGGACGTGCTTCAGGCTCTGTCGGCGCTTGCGCAGGTCTCTGACCGTGCCGATGCGCCTCCAGCGAGGAATGCTCCCACGTCGCTGGAAGAGCGTATTCGCAAGCGGGCGAAGCAGAGGCATGAGGCCAAAGGTCGCTGACCGTGTCAGCAAGGAGCGACTGTAGAGCGGAGTGCTACCTCACTGGAGTGCTGCGAAAAAACGACGTTGTGCCAACTGCCGGGCTGGGGGAGGGTCTTGATTCAGAAATTTGAATTTAAAAATATATAAAGAATTTCAGAATATTTATTTAAATCTATTTAAATAATAAAGAATTTTTATAAAAATTGTTTATTTTTATTTTTATTAACAAATATATTCAAATAAATATTCATGAATTCTTTTTCTATTATTTTAATCATAATTATATATTTATAATATATTTACTGTTAGCTATATAGCTCAAATCCACAGGCCTCTTGGGGACACTCAAGAGGTTAACCCACTAATAGCCTTCATAAGTATATAGCTAGGTTACAAGCCGCGATGTCAGTTCACAGTTTCCAACATTGTCAGTGGTATCCCGATCAATACTACGCCCCCATGCCTTTCAAGAACAGTTTATACAATGGCTAGGGCTGTGCAGCAGGATGCCTTTTTCGGCCTCATCGATGCTGCAGCAAGTGCTGGTGATGTGCGCGGTCCCCGGATACACGGCCTTTTGCGGGAAGTATGTAGGGTATCAGGTTTTGGAGCTTCGGACTGCACGGCTGCGGAGTTTAACGCTCCAAGTAGATAGTCTTGGGTTATTCCTACATGGTTATACCTAGTATTTGCAGTCTTGGTCATCTTCTAACGGCGCCAAAACAAAACTCCCTATGTTTACCTGCGTTTTAAGTTCGGGGTCCGAGTGGGCCCAGATTTTCAACAAGCCCCGGTCTGCTGAGTCATGTTAGCATAATGAATGCACGTCAGCAGCCTATTTTCAACCACATAACATGGTGACCCCCGCCCGCTCCCGCCATTGCGGTTTGCGTCGCACTTGATCAGCGGGAGTTGGGAAGTCATACTCACATCAGGAGTTTTTCAGTCTCCCTTGTTCTCGGTCCGTCGGGTCCCTGGTATCGATTAAAAGGGGTGAGAGGACGAATTAGGCTTCATGTGGAAGTTTAGGATTCCTGCAAGGGTCCTTTTACTTAGGGGTTTTTACAAAGTTCCGTGTGTGGTGTTCTATCCAGAACGAGGTAGGGTTTCTATCATGGTGTTTTGTGAGTGTTGCCATTTTGTGTAATTACCAATTCTGCGCCTGTTGAGCTTTATGGGGGCACAAAACTATGTTTCACGTGACGTCTTGGGTGTTAGTGCAATGACGAGGCGATCTTCGGGAATTGCTGCAGATATCCAGCTCCGTGCGAATTTAGTACCGGACGGTTTCATGGCTACCGTCGTTATCCGTTTTGGCGTTGTGCGGTGTTGTGCACGTAGCCTGGTGTTGTTGGTTTTCCGTTTGGACTTTGAATGAAGCTGTTGCCAACAGCTGATGGGAGCTCAAATGCCAAAAAACTCACATTCGGTAAACCAGGGTTCTCAAAACCTTAGTTAACATCGTCTTCAAGGGCCATAGGCAAGCTGCAAACCTATTGCTTCGGCATAGTCCTACCATGACTGATAAGTTAACTTGTGTGGACCAGCGAATTCAGCAACTAGTCCGTAAGACGTACGCCTTGCCTCGCCCAGGGCCATGGCAGAGTATTGGTACGACGAGGACGGACTTGCTGGAATGTGCCTTTGGTGGTTCCGGTGTGGATAACCTGTCGTGCTGTTACACCCCCTAAACATCCGTAAACCCTATATTAAACTGAAAACCCCAAACATAAATCGAAGTGCAACTGCAACTTCATTCTCGGACTTGGGCTTGTGAGCCTGGGTATTGTCGTTCAGATTTGGCAGCAAAGCCGCAGAATGTTGAAACGTGCAGTTTGGATGTTAGAGTGTAGGTTCGGGGCCTGGTACCTTCCTGCAGTCCACTCTAGGCTTCAAGTTCTTCATCAACTCTGGTGTGTTCCAAAAAGAGGGGCCCTTCGTCCAGTAGGATTTACCGCTAGCTCCGAAATAGGCCCCAGTATAGACAGTTAGCAGGATCCGTATCATCAGCAATAAGTTGCATAATGTGTCGTAAACCCTAAACCCTGAACCTGCCGCAGGCCTTCCTAAGCTAAAGAAACGAGACCGCCAGGCCGTGAAGCAGGGGCTAGAGATGGACGGCCAAACCTACGCGACGCTGTCCGCTCCGCATTGTTGTTGTTGAAGAGGGTTTAGGGTTTTGATTTTAGGGTTGGGGTATCAAATACTTCGAAATCGAGCTCTGGCAGTTGTTCTGTCCATCCCAGATCAGGGCTTGTAGCTTTAGGTGCGTGCAGCTTTTCGCGCCCTCATGCTTGCTTCAACGGTCAGGGGATTGCATTTTGGAGCTTGTAAGCAGGGGAATATCCCAATCAGCAGCTCCCGTATAAGTGGGTACACTCAGCCTTCAAGTACACTTTGAGTACTGACAAACCCCATACTGTAAGTAAGACCTTCATGTAACCTGACAAACCCTCAACAAAACTATGAACGCCCAGAAGGTAAGACTGCAGCAAGACTTACACAACCATATCCAGCACTCATAAGAGTATAAACTCATGTTTTCTTAGTAGAAGTCCGATCCGGCAAGCTGCCCCAAGGACATCCGAACCTGAACGGTTTTGGTCTTTGACGTAGGGTTTTAGGGCTTAACAGCTTGGGGGTTTAGGCGCTGATGGTTTAGGCTTTACGCTGGATTGGGAGCCGCCCATCTAAGCCGAAAAGCTCCAAGCCCCCTAAACCCTAAACCCTAAACCCTAAACCCTAAACCCAAACCTTAAAGCCGTAAGCCCTGAATCCAACACGAAGCTTCGCTCGCACCAGGGTCCTGGCAGCCGAAGCCCAGGGCGAGGAGAAGCAGGCAGTTGTCTACCTAGAGCTTCCTAAATTAAACCCTCTAACTAAGGAAATTATCCTCAAAGTATCGTAGGATCCATAATATGATTTTAGGTATATTCCTTAAGTAAACGTTTTGGGAGGCTTTGTCTACTGCAAGGGCCTTCAAAGAGGGACGTGTTTTTTGTTTTGTTTTGTGGAGGGGGTGGTATGCAACCCGCATATTCGCATCTTAATGTTTCAGACTGTGAGGGGTTAACGTAATTCAGTATTTCGACCCCTTGACCCCTAGTCATATCATGAGGATGTGGGTATTCGAGCAGGGTTAACGGGTTTAGTTCCCTTGGTGTTTTGGGTTTCGGGTTTGGAGATGTGCACTAATTATGCCAGCGAAGTGCAAACATCTATTTTGCGAAACGGCTGTTTAAGGCTGTTCATCATTAAACCCTAGACCCCAAACCACTATATAAGCTCAGACGAGTGGGCAGCCGTAAAAGGGAACTCAAAGACAGAAAGAAGCCACAAACTCTAAATACTGAGCCCTAGGCCTCTCCACCCTTCAACCTCCAACCTTGAAGCCCTCAAACACCTCAACCCCTGAGTCGTGTGACTTTTGCCATGAATACCCGATAGTCCTTGTTGTGCCGAAGCGAGCTGCTCTTCATAATTCACCCTGATTGGCGCAGGGGTTACTTTCTAGGAACTCCTTCAGGGGATCCCTAAACCCTAAACCCTAAACCCTAAACCCTAAACCCTAAACCCTAAACTACTCTTCGGATCCTTCGAGAGCTCTGGGAACCCTAAGCGGCATTTTTCTGCCTGGAAAGTTTCGGAGGCATCCGCCTGGTTCCGCGAAGCGTGCGCGAGGTAGGGCCCTGGTCTTTAGGGTTTAGGCTTCCTTTCCCTAAGGCTCCATGTACCCAGAAAGTATACACTTAGGGCTTAAAGGGGTTCTTAGAAAGGTACTTTGAGGCTTACGTGTATACTGTATGGCTACATGAAGCCTTAGGGTTTAGGGTTTCCTTTGATTTCAGGGCTCTTTTGATTCATAAGAAGGTTCCACTGAGGGTTCGATTATCGCCTAGCGGATCTATAAGGGTCTGTATAGGGCAATACCGTATGTGAGAACCAGAGGTCCGAAACCCTAAGCCCAACTATGGTGACATACGCCAGTAGGTATCTGGACCATGGGACCCAACCGCCGTGAATTTTCGTGGTTTTGAAGTTCAAGGTTGGGCATTTGGGGTTTAGGCTGAGGGTTTGCTTTCGGTTTAGGGCTTAGGTTGCGGGGGTGGTTTGTGCTTTGGGGCTTCAGGTTACGGAGCCCCCTATCAAATCTCTAAACTCTTTATCCTGAGGCTGGGATTTCCTTTATAGGGTTTTAAATATGAACCACAAAAGGGAACCACTGTGGGGCCTTAGGGTAATGCATGTCATGCAGGCATTGATACTTCTTCCGCCTACACCCCATAGGTTGCATAGCAAGGACTTCCCCCGAAACGCGGTTCTATTGTCGCCCCACTTCTGTCAATTGAAAACCGGTTGCCTATTAAAACCGCCCACGAAGTAACCTGTACAAGCTTGTAGAAGCTTTCAAGCACTTGAAGAACACACGCGCACACACGCACAACCACCTGAATCAACTTGTTCTGGCTTGCAGCAACCCTGGAAGAAACCTACCCTAAACCCTAACCCCCCCTAAACCCTAACCCTAAACCTCGAACCCTAAACCCTGAACCCTATTTGGGTACGGACCTACCCTAAACTCTAAACCCCGCAACCCTCCTTTGCCATGCAGGCAAGCCAGCTTCAAGGATAGCTTTGTCGAAAAACTACTGCTGGGCCCTTTCCGAGGGTTTAGGGTTCAGTTGTCTGTTCCAGGCTCCACGGTTTTGGAAGGAAAACTTGTTGGCATAGAATTGTAAGCTTTAGGGTTTGGGTATGCCTTTTAAAGTTGGGGCTTTAGGGGTTTCAGTGGCCTCAGATGGGGTTTTTTGGGGGTTCTCAGTTTCAAAGGCTCTGAGGCTGAAAATGGGAGCAGGGAGCTTGGAGCTGTGTAGCCCTTTAGGGTTTAGGGGTTAAGGGTTTAGGGCTTAGGGTTTAGGTTTTAGGGTTATAGACAGAAGTTTAAGGGGGCGAAAAAGGCTTGGTACACCCCAAAAGTTGAAAGGGCAGCGGAGGGAGTTTTTCTCTGGGTTCCTTGATTCCTTGCAGGGGCGCTTAAAGGAACCCTTTAAGCAACCCCTACAGGAGCCCTTAGAGGAGCCCTTAGAGGAACCGTTGAAGGATCCTTCAAAGGAGCCCTTAAAGCAACCCTATGTTTGCATCCTAGCCGGCACCCCACTCTGTCCCTGAAGGTCACCCCTCAGCTTCCCTACAGGCTGTCTTGCAGGGTCTCTTTAGATTCCAGAGACTCGGGTTTAGAATAGGAAGGTTACGGTAGTTTAGGGTTTTGGTTAACCTACAAAGTAGGTTTGGATGGTTTAAATTTAAGGTAAAGTTACGGTAGTTTAGGGTTTTGGGTGAACCTACAAACAGGTAAGTTATGGTGATTTAAGTTAAATTTCAGGTAAACCTCCCTGAGCCCCGAACCTAAAGCCCTTAAGCCCCAAACTTGTAAAGCTTATCTACCAACCAGCCTGCCGCAGAACCCTGAATAGACCCAAGGCGTTCAGAGCTCTAAAACCAACCCCACTGGAATGCTTGTAGAACCCCCACAGAACTCTCATACAACCCGTACAGAGTCCTTGTACGATCCTTTTCTGCACCCCAAACAGTAAACCCCAAACCCAAAAACCTCAACCCTAAACCCTAAATCCCGAAGCACCTAAAATCCCAAAGAAAGCCACACTACGCTCGAAGCTCGTTAGGTCGATTCTTGTGGATCGCGGAGACAACGACAATGCCCGCAGCTGGCTGGGTCGCGCGCAGAAGGCCTTGGTTTAGGGGTTTGAAGTTGCGAGGCCCGGAACCGTAATTATTCTGCAAAGCCTGAAACCCTGAACCATTTGAACCGTGAAGTTTGAAGGCGTGAATCTTTAGACTTTAGGGCGTGGGGTGGAGGGGCGATTAGCAGTTTCAGACTGTTCTAGTCTGGGGGTTTCATCGGTCTTTGAACAATCAGAGATCCGCAGTGCATGCGCAATCTACAGATTTCAACAGGAAGTGATGCAATTTGGAAGGAGCGTGCTAGCGGCTAGCGTACCCCCCAACCCCCATTATGTTGCCCCAGCTCCATAAAAAACGGCCGATGCCCCACATTGAGCTGCAGAAACTAGCTATAGACCCGACCAAGAAAAACTCGACTCTTACAGCACTGCTCTCCGCATAGGAGAACGAGGCCTTTTCACCGGCAGTCCTTTGCCCCGGAAGCAGCCTTCTTAGCATTTCCCCCAAGGGTCCAAAGGACCCAATAATTAGCTACTCGGTTTTAGGATAGTAGTTACGTAGGTTAGGATTTTGGAGAGTATATGATTATTGGGTACTTGGACCCTTGGGATTCCTTAACGACTATGACTACGACGTAGAATTGGGATATGTACTTTCACCTTGAAACCTAGACCTTAACCGCCAGGCCAGAAGTCAAGACGCAAACAACGACACCTGAACCTTTAGGGTTTAAACTCGGTTTTGTAGCTTTGATGCAGACAGGCTGGCATTGAGTGCAATGGGGGTATGCTGCGGAGCGTCTTCCGCCAGCTCATGAGGACGTGCTCCTCGGTGACTTCTCGCTAAACCCCAAAGCCTTGAAACTTAGCGTGCCATGTGTCTCTGGGGTATTGCTATAGCATGAGCCCGTTTGGGTCTGTGGCCTCATCGGTTGCTGGGCTGGAACCCAGGATGGTAAGTTTTGGTGTATGGTTGGTTAAAAACTTCAGAAATGAAGGACCCACTTCGTGGGAGTCCAGATTACACAACTTTAACTACACTTAACGTAAGAGGCCTATAGTGCTCGGCAGTTAACTACAGACACCGTTGATGCTCTAAGAATCCCAACGTGCAGTAGAGAAGCCCTGACACCCGCCAAAGGGTCAAAGTACCCCATAATCATAGACCTCTCCCAATATTAATAACCTAGATCGATTACTACGATCCGCAATCAAAGTATCTGATCATTGGGTCCTTTGGACCCTTGGACACACCAGTACCCCAGACATCCGAAGACCGGACGCGCTAGTGCAAACCCCTGAAACGAACCGGCAAAGGACTTAATGTAGGAGCCTATAATTAAATTACCAAGACTATCCTTGATAGTGATAGTATAGCATACCCCCAGAGCCCTATTTTAGTTCCGAAGGCCCCTATAATACTAAGCCCAAACCTCAAGCAAGCAGTCACCCTAAACCCTATAACCCTATAACCCTAATCCCTAAACCCTAAACCCTAAACCCTAAACCCTAATCCCTAAACCATGTAACCCTAAACCCTAAACCCAAGCCTCAAGCAAGCAGAGTCAACCTCGGACCCCTCCTCGAACACCCTAAGCGCTCCGACCTGTGTACATTTGTCTTGCAGGTTCACAGTTGTCCTGGGTGTTTGGGGGCTTTAGGGCTTAGGGCTTTTTGGGGTTTAGGGCTTAGGGCTTTTTGTGTTTAGGGTTTAGCGCTTAGGGCTTTTTGGGTTTAGGGTTTAGGGTATGTGGGAGGTCGAGCTATGGCATAGCGAGAAGGATTTCCGATAATGACGGTGTAAATTATGGTGTCTGGGGTGTGGGGGCCAGGGGTTCAAGGGTTTAGACTGCCGTTTCAAGCTCTACACTCACACAGTCAGGGTTTAGGGTTTAGGGTTTAGGGTTTAGGGTGTAGCATTTCGGATTTCAGGGCGTGCAGTTTCCGCTGTTGCCATGGACGATGCCAGCCATTTGGAGATGCTTCCGGACTCGGCAGAGCACTTGACATTGCTGCCACTTGGCATAAAGCTCTAAGGTGCTGTGGAGACCCAATTAGGATGGTAGCAAACTCTAAACCCTAAGCCTTGAACTCTACATCCTAAACCTGAAACCCTAAACCCTCAGACCCTCTAAACCTGAAGCCCCAAACCTTTGCCTGGCCCCTAAACCCTAGGGGGTAGATTCCTAGTCAGCCCAGGCTCGCGTTTGAAGGCTCAGAGGACTTGGCATGTCGGTGGTCAAGACCAACATCTAGGACCTACTTGGAGGAGCAGGGGACTTAGTAAGTAGTCTATAAGTAGGGTCATAATTGGGGTAACTCCATTCAGGGTACTTATAATTCTACTTATAACCTACTTCCTAAGTCCCCTGACCCTCCAAGTAGACCCTAAACCCTAAACCCCATGGATCCCTTAAAGGAACCCTATACATCCCTTTAAGGAGCCCTTTAAGGAACCCCCTACTAACTCCCTGACCCTCCAAGTAGCGTAGGCCCTTATTCCCTTGTTTTAGGGTTCAGGCCCAAGTTCCCGTATAAGCCCTTTAAATTAGAAGGAGCCCCCACCCTGTAATAGTGGTATAATAGGAGTATAATAGGGCCCTAATATAATCCTCATAGTCACTATTACAGGGTGGGGGCAGCTTCTAACCTTTAAAGCAAAACGGGCACCCTTGCTATTCTTATTCTACTCTTGGGTCGAGACATCGTGGCCTGAGTAATCCTAGGGTTTGGGGAATATTCTATTGTAGGTATGTGGGGACGGTATAAGGACAAACATTCCCAACAGTTCATAAAGTTTCCTGATCCTCAGAAAGTCAGCCCTTTGGGACCTAAAGCCTAACCCCAAGGTTTCGGTCCGTTTGCCGTGGGTCCTGAACCCCAGGCGCCGGTATAATCCCTAAATCCTACGCCCCGGTTTGACACGGATCCTCGATTAGGATGCCCAGTGCTACCCTCATTCCCTTACTGTAGTCCTAGGTTCCTTATAAAGTTACCCAATACCAAAAAGGGAATCCTATTGCTTCGTAGGTTACTGGGCATCCTTGACCCTAAACCCTAAACCCTAGGTAGGCCTTTGGGACATTTTATATTTTCCCTTACTGGGCTTAGTAGGACCCTATTTACGAATATTTTTCAGAGGCTTTAAGGGGCCAACCTAGAACCCTGTTGAGATGAGGTCCAGCAGCTTTCAGCTTGAAGGCTACATCGAGCAGACCGAGCGTCGACGCTTGGTGGCTTTGGGTGTTTGTAGGGTTCCCAGAGACTCCAAGCAATACACCTTACATGATAGAAGGATCCAAAATAGGATTTGAGGAATATTCCTTAATTCGGGGAGTCTCTGGGTTAGGGCTTTGCGGTCTGCAGGGTTTAGGGCTTGGGATGTCCAGGGCGGGTGTGGGGTGGGGGTGGGCGTTTAGGTCTTGCCAATTGCGGTTTAGGGCGTCACCTTCTTTGGGTGGTGTTTTTCTGTTGGTGTTAGCGAGGTTGCATCACTCTAGAAAATGATGCCAGCAATGCTGAGTGTTTAGGCTTCTGACTATGGCTTACTTTCTGATGGTTTGTTCTATTTAGGATTTAGGACCCTGATCCCGAAATCCACCTGATCCGACCGTGAGGTGTCTTTGTAATCGCTAGTTTGCCCACATTGCTAACTAATTATAAAGTCTCGCACCCTTGGGCCCTCAATCCTAAACCCTAAGCCCTTAAACCTAAATCCTAAACCCTAAATCCTCTCTTTTTACTTTGTGCCGAACCTTCAACCATAAGCTCTATAAGTTCGGAGCGAACACAGGGCACTGTACCAACTTCCCAGGGCCTGGGGTTTAGGGTTTAGGGTTTTTAGGGTTTTTAGGGTTTCGGAAGTTACATAGCGATCGAAGACCCTCTGAAAATACTTACCCAGAGAGCCCAATACCCCTTAATTAAGGAATATGATTATGTAGGGCTTCAGGGCTTCATATTATGAGTTAGGCTATATTCCTTAAATTAAGGGGTATTGGGCTCTCTGGGTACTAAACCATCCTGGGACCACCCTTTAGCAGAAGCACCTGATTACAGTTGCCCTGAACCCTAAAACAAATCCTAAACCCCCTGAGCCCCTAAGACCTAAACTCCATTCCTTGAGAGCCCTTCATTTTTAAATGAACCCTAAACTCCTAAACCCTAAACACTAAATCCTGTAGAGCCCCTATAGTACCCTCATAGGAGGACCTTTAAAGGAGCCCCTTAAAGGAACCTAATAGAACCCTGAAAGGAACCCTTTAAAGAAACCCTACACCCAAGGCCCCTGAACCCTCAAACCCTAAACCCCTAGAGACTCCTTATAGAACCCCTTATGGTACTCTTTCTCAAAGGCTCCATGTATCTTTATAGTAGATACTTAAGCCTTAAGGGGGTCCCTATATAGGTACTTTAAGGCCCAAAGTATATACCATGAGGGTACATGGAGCCTTAGGGTAAAGGCAGCCTAAACTCAAGTTCCAAAGTATAGTAGGATCCATAATATGATTTAAGGTATATTCCTTAATTAAGGGGTATTGGAGGCTCTGGGAACCCTGATGGTACCCTTTAAAGGAAGCCTAAACTCAAGTTTCAAAGGCGCCATTACACCGGCACAGCTGAAGCGCGTGGTGGACTTTGCCAGCGCACATTGCAGGCATCAGCTTCCCAGGGCTCCAAGTTCGGATGTGGAGTTTGGGGTTAGGGGTTTAGGGTTCCTTTAAAGGGTTCCGTTTCGGGTTCTATGAGGGTACGAATTAGAATCGTTCTAGGTGCTGGATTTAGGGTGTAGGGTTAGGTTTTTGGGCTGTAGGGATTAAAGGTTCAGAGTCTAGGTTTTAGGGCGGTTGAGGGTTTGATGTGGGGTTCATGGTTTAGGGTCCCGTTTAGGGTTTACCGTTCGGGCTCTAGGGTTCCGAGTCTCGGGTTTTCCATAAAACCTGGACCCTGAACCCAAAACCCGAAACTTTGAACCCTGAGCCTTGTAGGGTTCGGGGTTCCGGGTTTCCGGTTTCCCCAAACCCTGAACCCAAAAAAGCCTCATCTCCAAACCCTAAGCCCTAAGCCCAGTTGGGGTTTAGGGTTCGGGGTTTAGGGTTCCTTTAAAGGGTTCCTGTAAGGGTTCTATAAGGGTACTACATAAGGTTCGGGTTTGAGGGTTTTGGTGGTTCAGGAACCCAGAGCCCCAACAGAATCGCCTCTTCAGTTTCTAGTCCAACTCCCTTCGCCGATTCAGGGTCTGGGGTTTAGAGGGTTCAGGGTGTATTGTTGAGGCTTTAGTATCTGGGGGTTCAGGGGTGTTGTTTAGGGTCTATATTTGGGGTGTAGGAGTTTGCGGCTCGGGTTTCGAATGGTTTAGGGTTCAGGGTTTATGTTTTAGGGGTATAGGGTTTCAGGATTGGGGTTTGGGGACGCTAAGCCCCAAAAGCTAAACCTCTCAGCCCTAACCCTTTGATCCGAAAAACTAAACCGAAGCCGTACCCATAGGCTCCATAGTAGTTCCTTTTTGGGGCTCTTTTTGAGAATCCTATAAGGTGCTCCCAAAAAGGAACTACCATGGAGCTGATGGGTAAGCCCTGAAACCCAGAAGTTGAACCCTAAGTCTCAAGCCCTGAACATCTAAAGCTCTACGCCCGAATCGAGCTTTCAGGGATCCCTCAGAGGAACCCTTAAACCACACATCCTAGACCCTAAACCCCAGACCCCGGACTCTATATCCTTGACCCTTAGACCCGGAATCACCTCGGAGGCTTCAGCCTTAAGCATCGTTGCTTTGCCAGGCGGTGGCACGACCGAAGCTCTTGCTCCTGGACAGGAGGCGGTTGAGGGTTTTTGTTTCCGGGTTGAGATGAGGAGTACCTTGATTTTTGCTGCTTCGGCTTACTGCCATCACTTTGTAGGTATGTTCGTACGTGTGTATGTATGTACTCACATACATGTGCACCTACAAACCTGGCTGCCTACCTCCTACGTAGCCCCTGCCTACCTACCTGCCTGCCTACCCACCTACCTGCACACAATCTTGTAGCGTTGACATAGGCTGTCGCGGCGACAATGCGTCGACGTACGGGTTGTGCAGGGTTTGCAGCGCTTGCTCGCAACTATCGTGCAACTACGGAAGGAAATGATGTTGAATGCCACTCTTTTCGACTGTCTCCGGACCCTAGCTTAACCCCCAGACCCTCAATCCACAATTTCCTGTCCTTTCGAGGGCAAACGCTGTCCATGGACTTCCTAAACCTCTACCATTTGACGGACTGGGTCATCCTACCTGCAACGCAGGCCGGAGACGTTTCGAGCTTCTTGTAGCAGGGCTTGTTCGCTGATTATTTGGCTTGCTGTTCTTTTGCGTTACTGTAGAAGTAGGGTTGTCTGTGTCATAATCCTTCAGGTTTTGCATTTTGTGACCTCGTTCGTACCGATGTTGTGGTTGTCGTCGAGGTGTTTGCTTTTCTTCGAGTCATGGCGTCTTGCTACGCAAGCCTATACTGTACCTGCTTGGGTTTTCTGTTGACTGAGAGCAAGATGGACTCGATATGACAGCTGACTGCCTTCAAGTTGTCAAGCCTTGGTAGAACCCTATCCCGAGCATCCGAGACAAACTTCAAAACCCTGACTGCCTTCAAGACGCGTACTAAACTGCAACCCCAACAGCCGAAAACCCCAGATGAAAGCTTAAGCCTAAACCCTAAACCCTAAACCCTAAACCCACATCCCAAGGCCAAACCCGAACATCCTTGTAGCCCAACTCGAAAACCCGGCCTAAGGCGGATTGCTGTGCCATGGTGGAGTTGCTAACAGGCCCGGGCAAAGCAGCATTTAGGGCATTTAGGGTCTTGAGATTTTGAAGAATGAACGTCAGGTCAGGGATGTGTATATATATATATATATATATATATATGTAGTGTTTTATGGTTACATAGCTGCTTGAAGAGCATAGGGGAAGAATTGTTACTTCTTCAGATCCTTGTATCAAGCACGTCGAAGACGAGCCCGTGGTTTCGGAGTCTTGAGACTGGGGCAATCCAAACCTCCGATCCCGAGAGGAACTTTGCACCAATCGTGTCAACTAATCCCAGACTAAACCACACGCTCGTTGGTCAACTTTTAAAAGCTAAGCATTAGCCATATCGTCAATCGCGAACTCCACAACCCTGAACCCCACGATTAACACCCCAACTGCCCTCACCACAAACGATTATTCGCGAAACTGCTCCCCCCCCCCCCCCCCAAGTCCTACATAGACCCCCAGGGGACTTGGCAAGTAGGTTGTCAGTGGAGTTAAGTACCCTACATGGAGTTTCCCCAACTTACAACCGACTTACTACATTTCTACATTAGTATGGGCCCTGAGATCCTTGTATATATACCTAACTATAAACCCTATATAGACACTTAAGGGTTCATTGCGCGGCAGTGTTTCTCTGCGACTAGTAAAGGGGTATCATTGCGTCAAGATGGGTTGGGGTTCTGCGTGAAGGCGGTATGTCAACCGTCCACTGCCGTACACAGCTCGCCCTGGTGCCAGCGCCCCTGCAAATGACATGACAGCTGGAGAGAACGGACACCAATGTCCCTATTTGGTATTTGCGATCTCTTCCAGGCCACCCGCTGTGATCGCGTTCGTGCCCCGCTCGGCGCATTCTGCCGAGCTGCCACCCCTACCCTGACATGATCTCGTGGATCGAGGTTTGCACTACCGCTTCGATACTTTATCAGCGAAATGGTGGCTTGCGAAGCGGGAGACCATCCCTAGACCTCCCTCAAAAAAGGTCGAAGGGTCCATATTCGGGGCCCATGGTTGCAACTCTAAACCGTGAACCCAAGGCCCAAAAACCCTAAACGCTTGAAGCTTGGCTTCGGTTTAAGGTTTAGGGTTTAGGGTCCCCAGAGACTCCAATATCCCTTAATTAACGAATATTCCTTCAGTCATATTAAGGATCCTACCATAATTTAAGCTATATTCCTTAATTAAGGGGTATTGGAGACTTTGGGTCTAGGGGTTTCAACCAATGAACTGACAGGAGAGCCGCAGGCGCCGACCTGGTTCGTATCGCATTGGCGCCGCTCTCAGACTCCGTGCCTCCAATAAGGCTCCATGTAGCCATATATAAGTATATACTTAGGCCTTAAACGGGGTTCCTATATAGGTACTTTGGGGCCTAAGTGTATACTATATGGCTACATCGAGCCTGTAGAAGGTTGGGAGCTTAAGGCTTAAGGATTCTAGGGTTTATAGGTTTATGGGGTCTTTTTAAAGTCTTAGGGTTGAGAGTTTCAGCGTTTAGGAAATGGGGTATGGCGGACTAGTTTTAGTCTGCGGGCCTTAGCATGGTATCTGATGGTCACGTGGAGACTACAAGGCGACAATAAAAGGCCTTGCAGGATTTCTACTTGTAGGTGTCTAGCCATTGAGACTTGGTAGTAGCACAACGGATGCCCATCCTAGTAGTAGAGTAAGTAACCTCTAACCTTTCTTGGGTAGTATAGTCCCTATATATATATATATATATATATATATATTTCCCCTATATAACCAAAAAATTTAACCTTTGGTTCCCCATGATACCCGACAGGTAGGCCATAGGTGAAGGGTTTGCTGGCGACCTTATAGCTAGGGTTTCGAAGGGTTTAGGCTTCAGGGTTTTGGGTTTGGGTTTAGGGTTTAGAGTTCAGGGGTTTAGGGGTTTAGGGTTTAGGGTTCAGGGGCTTATGGGAGGTGTGCCGCCTTCAGTGTTTGGAGGTAGTTTTCGAGCTGCTTCCGGGGTTGAGGGCTCAAAAGTCTTACGTTCCGGATTGCTACGGTTGATAATATAAATCCTGCATTACACATAATAAGCCTAGTAGCTGAGCGGATACACTTTACACTTTTTGGGATAATATTACCCACTACAAAACTGAAAGTGTACACTTTTGGGGGGGCTTATGAACTCAGCCGCTAAGTAAGGAATACCATACCTCCCATAGTCTAGAGTCATTAGGGTAATGCAGGATTTATATCATCAGCCGTAGCCTAGGTGTCAAACTTCCGGCACCAAGTTGAACTCTAAACCCTATACCCTGAAGAACCTCCCTTTTTAGGGTTCCCTATTATGATTTCCTTATATAACTCCTTAAAAAGGCAGGTTCTTCAGGGTTAAGGTAAACCTAAACTCTTCAAACCCTATAAGCCCCATAATGAGCCCCAAACCCCGAACTCTTTAAACCCTATAAGCCCCATAGTTAGCCCTAAACCCTAAACTCTTCAAACCCCATAAGCCCCATAGTTGGCCCTAAACCCTGAACTCATTCAGGCCGATGTGTTAGAGCCATTGATCTGGCTTCTGAGTTCCTGAAACCCCGGTACTCTCCTAAGGCTAAGCCGTAAACCCTGAGTTCACTAGCCGCTGTCAGGTCGGATTGCTTTAAGGGAACCCCTAAAGTTCAGGGATCTCTAGGGGTTCCTTGAACTTACCTTTGGTTGGTAGGGAATGGAAGAATGGTAGTAACAGTAGTTATATAATTGTACCCCATTCCTCCAGTCCCTACTAACCAAAGGTAAAGATCCCTTTAAAGGAACCCACCCTAAACCCCTATAGATCCCTTTAAAGGAGCCCTATTCCCTACTAACCAAAGGTAAGTAAGGTCGACGCTGGTACAACAGGAGATCTGAATTCCGAGTTTTCAAACCCGGTACCCTCTAAGTCACAATCCCAAAGGGTCCTGGGCATTGTTGTGGGGGAAGCTTCCCCAAGTCATAAAAAGTAATTCCTAATATGGAAACCTTACATTCTACTATGCATTTTGGACCCTCTGGGAATAACCAAACAGCAGACTTTTTTTGCTTATCCTGAGCTTTCAGTCCCAAAGGCATTATGGGTTTGGGCTTCGGGTTTAGGGTTGAGTACAATCTTAAGGGCCCAAAGTGCCCAGCGGTGAGGTACTTTGGGTCTTGGATGGTAGCAATGTGGGTTAGTCGCAACAGCCTGAGCAGACTTCGCCTATCTACGAGTATGAACCTTCTAGTTACGGCGTGAAAGCTCAAACTCCCAAGACTTGAATGTTAGACATTGCAGCCAGAATCCCTGAACCCTAAACTTGAACCCCTAAACCCCTGAACCCCTAAAGCCTGAACCAACCAAAGCAGATCCCAGGTGGGGGGAGCCTTTGCACTGCTTTGTCAGCTGCATCGAGCGCCATGCCCAGACGCGGGCACTACCGGTTGCTGGGACGCAATGAAATATGTTCCATCAAGAGTATTACAATATACTATAATGTAAATATGCGATACTAGACTATAGCGGAATATAAGCGGAATATAATGTAGCATACTACAGTATAATTACTTACCATCATAGGCTTTATTATACTAAAAGTGCAGTAGGTCATAATACAACGAAATATCCTCCAATATACGATGGTATATTCGAGTCTTGTGTGCTTCAAGGTACGATCGATAACATGCAACAATCCTTTGTAAGATGCTATAATATGCTGTAATGTACGATAATGTAGCGTAGTATACTACAATATCCTATGATACATGTTTGTTGACTATACTAGACCATCATATACAAATTCTATAATGCAGAGAAGCCAAATTAGGATTTTCTGGGCTCGAGCGGTCTTTACTTATGTGGATTGATTTAAGCGTTGTGTAGTGCTATTTAGGCTTCCAGTTTTCATTTTGTGAACCCAAGACTCGGATCTAGGCTCCGGGGTCCCTGAAGGGTTTTAGGGTTCAGGATCTTGAAGTTTGGGGATTTGGCCTTGATCTAAGCCATTTACAGGTGGGTAGTTATTAGGTGGGTAGTTTCCCATAAGCCTCCCATACCACTCCTATAAGGTAAAGGGGTCTTATGGGAGTACTATGGAAGAGGAACTACCCACCTGTAATGGGCTTCTACTTGATGAGGGCTTCTGCAGTCACTCTGCAGTTTGATGTCCGGCACACTTCTGAAGCAATAATAATAGTAATAATAATAGTAATAGTAATAGTAATAGTAATAATAATAGTAATAATAATAATAATATCATCATCATCATCGTCTTCTTCATCATGGTCGGCATGATCGTCATTGTACTATTAGCATCACCTTTCTGATCATTTTCTCCACCATCGTCGTCATCAGGATTGTCGTCAAAGCAGTAAACGACAGCAGAGCCATCAGCCAGCTGCCAAGGACTCATCGGCGTACTGGGCCGGGGCCTTGGAAAGCTACATTTTTTGGGGCTTAAGCTGCAGGGCTTCCTTGAAGGCTCTTGAGTGTTTTTTGTTTGACGCGTGTTTGGTTCACGGTTGCCTCTTTATTGATTTCCAAAGACATAGTTTTTGCTTTCCTTCAAAGGGGAATGGAGCGTGACGGTCAGCACTGAGTCCTTCAGCTCGTCATTTGACATCCTAAGCTCTTAACCCCAACGCAAGGGTTTAAGGTTTAGGGGCAAGCTTCTGAACTTTTACACCCTGAACTCCCAGACTCTACGCTCTAGACGTCCAAATACCGGCCTTAATCTGAAATAAGGTTTTTGGGTATACTACGCGTTGTATAGCAAGGAACTCTTAGTAATACTATTGATATATCTATTCGGACCCTTATATTGCGTCTTAAACTCCCTACAACCTTACATATCTAGGGATGAGGAGCGTGCGGCTCAAGGAGCTTAGTGCCGGAGGCCTAAACCTTAAGCTTGAACTTTGCGACTCCTAATCCCTCGGCTACGCTGCCTGAGGGTCCAAGTACATACCCAAAGGCTCCATGTGCCCTTATAGCAGGCACTTAGGCCTTAAAGGGGTCCCTATATAGGTGCTTTAAGGCTTAGGTACCTACTATATGGATACATGGAGCCTTTGGGATAATTAATGTAATCGTGTACACTCCCAAATACTAACCTACTTACAGTAACTACCACGTATCCTAAACCCAAGTACCTTCTTGTTGTGGGGCCTTTAGACCCGTAAGGGACTGGTGAAGCTTGGAACGGAAAGCTCTGGGCTTAGGTTGAGTGCTTGCTGTACAGGTGCGGGGATTTCGGGTGTGGGTTTGGGGTTGAAAGCGTAATGTTTGGGGCGTTGCCCTAAGCCCTGAACCCTAAAACCCCCTAACCCTAGACCGCTATATAAACCCCTAAAACCCTGCACCCCAAGCCCTAAACCTCAAACCGGTTAGGGGCAATTACCAGCAGTATTCATAAGGGTTCCTTGATTGGAATAGAGGAGCCTAATTAGATATGATTGCCAACATTATTCCTTAGTTTTTTGGGTTCCTTATTATGGTTGGACTAGAATATCTTCAAAAATCTTAAATTCTGATGATTGAAGTCCCTATATTAGGGGGTTCAGCTCCTGGAACCACAAGCTCTAGGTAGGCCTTTGGGACATATTATATTTCCCCTTATTGGGCTTGATAGGACCCTATTTACGAACATTTTTCAGAGGCTTGAAAGGGCCAACCTAGAGCTCCTAGGGCGTTTTAGGGGCTTTAGAGTGCTAAAGCGCCAGCTCCGAAACTCTAAGCGTAAACGGTTGAGGTTTTTGGTTCGGGGTTGAGGGGCTTAGGGGTTACCGTATCCCTGAAGAACCTACCCTTCTATGGACTTATATAAGGAACTCATAATAGGGAACCCTAAAGAGGTAGATTTTTGTTCGGGGTTTAGGGGTTTAGGGGCTCAGGGGTTAGGGCCCAGAGCCTCCAAAACCCTTTAATTAAGGAATGTACCTTAAATCATATTGTGAATCCTACTATACTTTAAGGTACCCAGAAGGTCCATATATACTACCATTATGGAATTAGGTCCCAAACAACGGTTCTTATTATGGCTTAAGGGGCCTAATTCCATCATAGTAGTATAGCTGGACCCTCTCGGGCCTAGGATATATTCCTTAATCAAGGGGTTTTGGAGGCTCTGGGCCCTAACCCCTAAGCCCCTAAATCCCTAAAGGGGTCCTTAAAGTATAGTAGGATCCATACTATGATTTAAGGTATATTCCTCAATTAAGGGGTTTTGGCGGCTCCGAGGGGGTAGGAGCCCGAAGCTGTCGGGGCACTGCATTTGATTCAACCACTTAAAGGATCATAGGGCTTAGTAACTAGGGTTCCTTAAAGGGCTCCTGACAGGGGATCTATAGGGGCTCCATTACAAGAGGGGATTTAGGGTCTACTTAACGGGTCCTGGGACTTAGTAACTAGGGCTATGATTAGGGTAACTATGTTTAATCTTTTGTAATATTTTCTTTGTCTTTCAGTTGTTCAATTGCTACTTATAACTACTTATTACCCAAATTAAGGTACTTTTAACCTTCCTAAGTCCCATGATCCTCCAAGCAGGTTTGCGCCTATGCCAATCGCCAGCATTCTTTGAGCGAGGAGGCGCTTCCCTGGACCCTGCATCTACTCTCTGTTAGACCCTCAGACCTTCCAAAATCCCGTAATTAAGGGATATCCCTTAAATTATAATAGGATCCTTAATATGATTTAAGGTATATTCCTTAATTAAGGGATTTTGGAAGGTCTGGGCCCTAAGTGCCCGGTATTTGGGACCATATACCCCTACTCTTGATGGACAAAATCCTGCATTACCCATTATAAGGAAGATACCATAATTCCCATAGTTTAGAGTCCTTAGGGCCATGCAGGATTTTGTCCATCAGCAGTATTTGAGGGTGCAAGGAGGGCCCTGGTCGTGAACCCGGCTTTGGGTATACGGGAAGGGTTTTGGGGCTTCAGTGGCTTGAAAGTCCTAAAGCCCATGTTCATGCTAGTGAGACATGGTTAGGGTTTAGGGTTCAAGGTAAAGGGTTAAGGGTTCAGGGTTCTGCTACTTCTTCTTCTACTACTACTATTACTACTACAGCTGCTATTACCCTAGCACCTGTAAGCCCTGACTCTGAGGGTCAGGGGTGCCGTTGCCGAAAGGAGTCCGAAGACAAGTCTTAGGTTGATTTAGGGTTCAGGGGTTCAGGGTTAAGGGGTTAGGGTTTAGGGTTCAGGGTGTAGGGTTGAGGGATTAGGTTTTAGGGTTCAGGGTTTAGGGTTTAGGGTTCAGGGTTTAAGGTTTAGAGTTCAGGGTTTAGGGTTTCGGCTACCCTACGCCGTAATGACGGTCCAAACATCATTGTCCTCGTGATAGGAAGGTACCGAACCAACGACATCCCAGTATCAATCCTCAACTTTGAAGGTTAGGGGATCTCGGTACTGGGCTTAATCATAGGGTTCTGAATAAGAACACCGAGGAAACTTAGTAATAACATACCTTGGGGTTCCCTGATATAGTTGTTCTTTACTTCCCCTTGTTCTAGTTTCTGAGGCCCTCTCTTAGGGATGACTTTTGGACCACCTTGCAGGTGACGTCGGACCCACGTCAGACGAGTTTTTTTCGGGCGCTCACGCTGAGCGAGGGAGTCCCTCGGTGCAGAGTTTAGGGCCTAGGGTTGTGCAGAGTTTGATGCGGGGGCTTTGATGGTTCAGGGCTTTTGGGCTTTGAGCTCTTACGGTGTATTTGGTTTGAGTCTAACTGTTTAGGGCTCAATTAGGGGTTGTACGGTCTTGAGGCTTCAGAGCTTTCGGGTTGTGGGTTTTGGGTATGGGACACTTTCGGTGTGAGAAAATGGTTTCTCGCACGCAGTCTCTCTCTCTCTCTCTCTCTCTCTCTCTCTCTCTCTCTCTCTCTCTCTTCCTTATCGAAACCCTAAACCCCTATAGATTCCGTATTATAGAGACCCTAAGCTCATATAGGTGTATGTATATATATATATAAATATATAGAGACAGAGAGAAAGAGAGAGAGAGAGAGAGAGAGACAGAGAGAGAGAGAGAGAGATAGATTGTGTGGCCCCAATTTCTTGAAATTCATGGTTTGGGACTCTGGTTTGGGGTTCAGGGTTTTGGGGTGCTTTAGCAGTTTTGGGTTACTAAACTCTCCAAACAAACTCCCAAGACTCGACCTCCAGTAACCTATAGTTTTCTTGTATACTGGACATTCCAGTCGAGTCTAATTAAGCTCAAAGCAGACAAAGCCCGACCTGCCAGGTGCTGCTGATTTTGGACGATGTCGCCGAGCGTTCTGGGCCCGCCACGCCCTTCAAGAGGACTTCTCAAGGATCAGCCCTACACTCTAAACCCTCCTGACCCTAAACCCACATCCCAAACGCAGAAGCCCCAAAGCCCAGATAGACCTACCTTTTATTCTATGGGTTCCTGAAAAATGATTTAGGAATATCAAGAGCTCCCTTTGGGGTATTGTATAGTTTTATAGGGAACCCGACGTCACGAATGATCACTGGGAGATGATGTTCACACGGTTTCTGTTGGGTGTTTTAGTCGGATTTTTGCGGCTTGGTGGTATGCTGGGTGGATGTTGGGGTTGATGGTATATAGGGCATGGCGATTGGGCTCATAGAAGGAAATGTAATGGTAAGTTTAAGTGCCCGAATTTGCCAAACAGACTATGTAGATGGCTGGTGTTACAAGTAGTGCTAATTGGAGTTGTGCGCACGCTATTCGTGTTGATGCGACCTTGAATCCCGGACCCGAAAGCCTGAGCCCCATAAATTACATAAGACCTCCTAAACGCTGTCCAATACATGAACACGAGACACCTGTTGAAGTGCAAACCCTAAACCCCGAATGGCAATCCCTAAATCCGAATCCCTAGACCCCGACTCGTAACTCCTGGACCGCAAGCCTTACGCCACCCTCACACCCACATGTGGCTTTTTTGCTTTGACAGTATCGGGGCGTGCGTTCTAGTCGAATAGGTTTTTTGCTGGATATATCAAACTACTCTATAGGTGTATCAGGAACTCTACTATTACTAGTGTTGCTGAATTACTATTACTATTACAATTAGTGTGGCAGGATATGGTGCGCTTTTGAGGAGCGCCCTTGTCTGCACTTGGATATGGGTTCCCAGACTTTCCAAAATCCCTCAGTTAAGGAATATACCTTGAGTTATGTTAGGATCCCTCGTGACCCCTCTAGTCTGTATGATCGAAGGTAATGTAGGCACCTGATTAAGAAACCCTGGGCCTATACCCCCAAAACAGTAGGATCCATAAAGGAACCCTAATAAAGACCCAGGGTTTCTTAATCAGGTTCCTACATGACAGTATATTCCTTAAGGAATATACTGTTGGCAGGTCTGGGTTGAGCTGCCTGTGGACGAAGGTGCTAGGTCTTGCTCCACGGGTCTCACTTTGGTACTGCCCCCGCTCAGTAACAGTTGGATAATATTCACAATACAGAGATTATTATACGGACCTTAATAGTAGCCCTACTATAGACTATTACTGTATTGGGGCCGTACCCAAGGTCTCACATTAAATTTTTGGGCTTGGGGTAACTGTGACTACTTCGGTTGATGGTCTAAACCCTGCATGACCCATAATAAGGAATATCCCAGAATTCCCAGAGTTCAGGGCCCTTGAGGTAATGCAAGATTTGTATCATCAACCGTTGCTTGATAGGTTAGGGCATGATGGAGAACCGTAACGAGTAAAAACGCTTTTTGGTTGAGGGCCTTAGTCAATACTTGGACCGCACAGAGACTGCACCTTCAACACCCTCTTCTTATTATGAAGGCCCCTGTATGAAACTCTTGGTTCCAAGGGTGAAAGGAGGGACCCTTAAAAAGGACCCCTAGGTATATACCCTTAACAGAGCTACTCTATACCCATTATATAGCCCATTATAGGGTAGGGGTCCCCATTAAGGGTCCCTCCTTTTCCCCCAAAACCCCCTAAACCCCCAAACCCCTAAACCCTAAACCCTATACCCTTAAAGAATCCCTATAGATCCCTTTAAAGGGACCCAATAAGGGTCCCTTGTTATCCCCTTTGATTGATGTGCTCCTGCCTGGTCCACCGCGAAGGGTCCACAGGGGTTTCCCGATTCCGTAGCACTCTGGGTCTACACTTTAGGGTTTAGGGGTTTAGGGTTTAGGGGTTTAGGGTTTAGGGTTTAGGGGTTTAGGGTTTAGGGGTTAGGGGTTTAGGGGTTTAGGGTTTAGGGGTTTAGGGGTTTAGGGTTTAGGGTTTAGGGGTTTAGGGTTTAGGGTGTAGGGGTTTAGGGTTTAGGGTTTAGGGTTTAGGGGTTTAGGGACCTACTTCAAGTATTGAAACCCATATATACTACAGACGGCTCAAAGCTGGGTGGTAGTTCAGGGTCTCGGACGCAACGAGGTACGTGGCGCTGAGTTCACGACAGGGAGAGCAGCTGCATGGCTTCGGTTTTGATTGCGCTTTTGGGGACTCTTTTACCTTCCACCTCCGAACCAAAATCCTGCACCACCCTAAAACCCGATATCTATGTCCCAAACATGTGCCTTTACCTATCTCAGCAATTTTGGATCGAGTCTACGGCTGTTGGGTTGTTTGGCGATGCAGGGCTGCGTTTGGAGTTAGCTTGAATAGCGGCGAGCATGGACTATGCAAGGAGGGGAAGACGGCTCAACATATCTCCAAGCTCACTCTGCTCAGGAAGTAGTTGCCCAACCTTGGATATTCTACCCGCACCCTGCCTTTCAACTCTACCGACGTATCCTGTGAAGTAAACCGAACCTTGGTCATTCCTTCGGGCTCTTTAAGATTATTGCCCCTGACTCCATTCCTAACAGACTCCGTGACACCCTATATAGCACCCTGGAAAGCCCCCCGAAACTTTTCAAGCCCCAGAAGCCTTTTGCAAAGCCTCGTCTACTTGTGTAAGGACCGTATACGGGTCGCACACATGCCATTAGCTCCATCTTTCAGCAAAGAACCTTTAGGGTGTAGCCGTGTAGAAGTTAAGGGTTTAGGGCTGAGGGGTTTACGTCTAGGGCCAGGAGTTATCAGGGGTTTAGGAGTTCGGGGTATAGAGCTTAGGGGTTTAGGGCTATTATCAGGGCACAGGAGTCTGGGGCATAGGAGCTTGGGATTTAGGCTTTCTCGCTTTGCGGTAAGCCCCTTTTCAAAGATGTACATGGCCGCAATAATTCGGGCACGCAGGCTTGAGGATTGTCGCTAAGAATATGAGTTTGCATATGTAGTACAAGCAAGACATCACTCCAATCCCGACGCCAGAAGGCTTTAGGATCAAGTGGTTACCCTGTGCATCAACATAGCCCAAAAGCCTCATATAGTATGGTCTTTGGGCCCAAAAGCCTTAATTAATATATGAGTCCTTAGATGCCTAGGGTTAGGGTTTGATAAGTGCAAAATTTCTGCGCCCAAACACCATGATGAGAGAATGCCCTGGCGCGGTTGATTCGCCCCAAATACCAGACATTAGGATGCCCAGTAGTACCCTTAGGGATCTATAAGGGTTCCTTAAAGGGATTTATAAGGGTTCTATAAAGGGTTTAGGGTTTCCGACAATTAGGGGCTAGGATGCCCGGTAGTACCCTTATTCCCTTTTTGTAGTCCTAGGTTCCTTATAAAGTTACCCAATACCAAAAAGAGAGGCCTTTTTATTCTTAGGTTACTGGGTATCCTAGCTTCCCATGCAGTTGGGCAGTACAACAGCCTACGAACCTATGAAGCAGAATATGTGGGTGACACGGTTCCAATTTCACACAATTAACATGTCGCCGCAACCACCACACTCTAGCGGAAGTCCCACATTGCGACAGCACAACGTACCCCAACATCACGAACGAATTGCCAGGTCCCCATATATGCTCAGAGCATCTCCACGCCCGCCCGAAGCCTCAAAGGAAGCCGCTGTTGCTGGACATCGCAGCTTATCACGGCAGCAAGCACTTCAGATGCAAAAGAGGATACAGGCAAATGCTTTATGTATATGGGTGGTTGTCTCAATTATGGTCCCTTTTTGGGTCCCTAATATAATACGGCACCTAATATGTAGGACACCCGGAAAGGTACTCTAATTTACGACATGCACAGTCTGTGCTGGATGAGGTCGCCTTCAGCTTCATGTTCGGGATTCGGCTGAGGCTTATTTCAAGACTCCTCTTCGAACTTCCAGTCTAGTCTCCAACGACAGGGATGAGCAGACGTACTATGGGGTCTGCACAGATTCCCGTACGTTGCTTTGAGTTCAACCTCTTTATGATGTGGTGATTGCATTGCAGGGGACCTCTTGATCGCACAAGAATCACAAGAAGCGAGGTTTGCTATTCGGAGGATTCCCACAGGTGCCTCTGAGGCATCCCAACATGAATACTGCCCCACGCCCTCTTGTCTCTACGACGCCCGACCATGCTTGCAGGAGGGTATGAATTGCAAGTTGAAGGCTTTGACTTACACAGTGTTCTGTGTACAACAACGCTGAATCTCAAACCATAATCCCTCATAACCCTTCTAATGGCCTGGATATTGCAATTACTCTCCAGCTGGAGTGTCTCCAACATCTCGGAGGTAGGAATCTCGAAGTTCCATTCCACGCGTTGCCGAGTTAAGTCTCATAGCACAACGTTGATCCCTCAAACTTGTTGTGTCTTGGGCTCCAAGTTATAAGCCCAGAACTATCTAAACCTGATCTCCGACACCCTGGCAAAACAGGCCTACGGAACCCCCAAACTGTTGAAGACTTGAAACCCCTAAACCCTAACATTTACTTGCAGCTTTAAGGGAAGCCTCCAAGCCCATCACATCCCGCCACCCCGAGAGCCCTGAAGCCGAAACTCTTAACACCTGTATAAAAATCCCTGTGGATTCCTTTAAGGATCCCCGAAATCCTATGAAACCAAAACCAACCACTACGGGTCCCTCACCTTCGGACTACTCTAGAAGCTGGAATAACTACTACTAACATGGGTCCTTTGGTCTCCTCATCCCAAAGGCTCCATGTATCTTTATAGTAGATACTTAAGCCTTAAAGGGGTCCCTGTAATTATAGGTATACTTTAAGGCCAAAGTATATACTATAGGGGTACACGGAGCCGTAGGGCATTTCAGTACTACTAACCCAGAGGCTCCGAGTTACCCAAACAATCCATACTCTGAATGGTTTTTGAATCTTGAAATCCTACTATTTAGGCACTTGACCCGTAGGGTAAGAGTTACACTATCCGAGTTTATTGTCAGGGCTATCAGAAGCAGCCTTCGCAACTGGGCTACGGTATCCTAGAACAGTTGTACAATAATGTAACCCAACACCCTATTCCAGTTGCAAAGGCCGCTTGTAGTTAGCAAGCCTTACAATAAACGGGTATAGTACAACCCTTAGAGAACCTACTGCTGATGGACAAAATCCTGCATTACCAGTTATAAGGAATATACCATAGTTCCCATAGTTTAGAGTCCTTAGAGTGATGCAGGATTTTGTCCATCAGCAGTATAACACGAACCCGAAAATTCCTCACAGGGAGAACATGACTCGTCCCAGGCCCGAAATACTCAGCGACGGTGCCCGGCGCCCTGAAAACGGCTCAGGGTCGCAGGGCTTGGGGTGCAGAGTTGAATGGTTCAGGTTAGGGTTTAGGGGGCAGGGGTTCAGTTTAAGGGTTGCATCTTATACTCAGGGTATTACAAGGTTTGGAATGCTAAGTATTTTGTACTATGGTCTCTTCCAGAACATATGGGCCACCCACCCATAAACCCTATGTGTATTTTCAGGTCCTTCTATCAGGCTTTCAGTGCAAAATCAGGGTCCCGGGCCAGTTTTGCTACAAATGAAGGGTCTTGGGAGCATTGGTTCTAAAATTGGGGGAGTTTGGGGGTTCGAGGGCTTTTGGGTATGTGGGTTTAGGGCTTTTGGGTTTATCGGTTTAAGGGTTTAGGATTTCGGATTTAGGGGTTTAGGGCTTTTGACTTTAAGGCAGGCTTTAGTGTTTAGGGCTTAGGGTTGCGGATTTAGGGTTTCAGGGCTTTTGAGTTTATGTACGGGTTTAGGGTTTTGGATTTAAAGGTTTTAGGGCTTTTCGGCTCTAGGCTTTCGGGTTTAGGGTTTTGGGCTAGGGCTTTGGGGGTTTAAGGGTCTTCAGCCATGACTCAGCCTGAACTGCCGCAAACGCCCACTCTCAGAGATCTGTTCGGGGAACACGTGCGGAGCAAGAGTATGATCCACTACAAGAGGCTTCGACAACAGGAGCCCTTCGTGACAGGTCCCGGTTGCAGGCAGACCGTGTTTCTCGGCCGGATCCTTTTAAGGGCCGGCACTTGTGTTCTGCGTTGCAGATGCAGCTGGAGCAACATGATAGCCGGCTTGCCTTTGATGCAAGTGCGCTTACCTTAGCAATTTCCGCAATCAAAGCATCTTTGCGTCCATCTTCATATTTCCATCGCCTAAAGCCATGGCTGCCGCTGGGGCAGCATGTTGGAACACTTCATGAAGGCTTTATATCGCCCTTCGCTCAACCATGCTATTGCCAAGGACCAGATGTCAAAGCGGACCGACGAGAAGAAGACGGATGCAGAGGTTAAGGGTTCAAAGGGTTTAGGGGTTTAGAGGTTCCGAGGGCTAGAGGGTCTAGAGTTTAGGGGGTTAGAGTGTTTAGGGGTTAAGGGTTACGGGTTTAGGGGTAAGGGTTAAAGGTTTAAGGGTTTAGGGGTTCAGGGTTTACGGGTTTAAGGGTTTAGGATTAAGGAATAGGGGTTTAGGGGTTTAGCACTTTGCGACGCAGCGACTGCAGCAAAGGCTGATTTTGATGGGCTGCAGTGGGCGTGGATGTTGGAAGCACGGCCGAGATTCAACAGTAGAAGACCCTTTTAGTAGGGCTTGAATCCCCAACAGAACTGTATAGGACGTCCTGGAACTTCCACCCGGTAAGCCGATACAGAGGATGGTAACCCCTACATAAACCTTAAACCCAAGCCAAACCCTCATACCTATACACCTTAAGCCACAACCGCTCACTCCGAAACCCGTAACCCGAAGCCCTCTATAGTTCCAGGGTCACCGAAGCCCTAAGCCCTAAATCCCAAAACCCTAAACGCCCTAAGTCCCTAAACCTGAAAAGCCTTAAATCCCTAAACCTTAAAAACCCTAAATCCCTAAACCCTAAACTGTAGTTCAAGGTCACCGAAGAGGATGAGCGTCTCGCACGGCAGCTCGGAGCAGGCAGGACCCGTCCTTTCGGCCAGCCGCCAGCCCAGATCCGATGTAGGGGTTTAGGGTTTAGGGTTCAGCAGCTCCGCCCGCCCCTGAATCCTATAACATTGCCAAAGTATAATAACTTTTCCATTTTAAAGCCTCAATCTTACATCCAAAACTCCTAGCCAGCCCAAATCTTAAACCCTAAGCGCTTCAACCCAAAATCCTGGAGCCCAAACCCTCGGCCTTAAACCCTGAAGCCCCAACCCTAGGCCATAAATCCTAGGCCCTAAACCCTGAAGCCCAAACCCTGGGCCCTAAACCCAAACCCTAAAGTTCAAACCCCAGGCCTTAAACCCTACCCTAGGCCGTAAACCCGAAAGCCCCAACCATAGGCCTTAAACCGTAAACTCCAGCCGGAAAACCAGTATTCCTTCGTCGGCAATGATTTTTTTGTGGTTGCCGACTGAAAAAAAACATTTCCGACGAACAAGTTAAGGTTTGCTACCGGAAAACCAGTATTCCTTCGTCGGCAAGTGTTTTTTTTGTAGTTGCCGGCGGGAATATACCATTGCCGACGAACAGATACCGGTTTGTTGCCAGAAAAACCTGCATTCCTTCGTCGGCAATGGGTTTTCTCTGGTTGCGGACGGAAAAGAACCATTGCCGACGAACAAATACCGGTCTGCTACCGGAAAACCTGGATTCCTTCCTCGGCAATGGTTTTTTGTCGTTGCCGACGAAGAAAAAGTCATTGCCGACGAACAAATACCGGTTTGCGGCGGGAAAAAACCCATTGCGACGAATGCATTAAGGTTTAAATACATATGATAGAGAGGTTTAGGGGGTTAGGGTTTAGGGGGGTTTAGGGTTGCAGTGTTTGGCTGTGACTGTGCCGTGAGTAACGCCAAGGGTCCAAAGGACCCAATCAGAAGGTACATGGGCGTAGGATAGTAGTCATGTAGGTTCATACTTGGGCGAGTATACGTTTAGTAGCTACTTGGACCCTTAGAGTAATGATTTGGTGGTTTAATCTTGCTGTTGTTGTTTTTTTTCGCTTGTTGTTGATTGCAGGCAGTGGGCCCTTTTCCTCTTCTGTCGTCTTAGGTTCCTTATAAGGCGTCTCAATACAAAATGTCCGTTTATTCAAGGTTTATTTGGGCTACTGGGGACCCTCGTTGCTATAAGAGATGCTTATGCCAGAGTTGCTGCAAGCTCAGTCCCATGTGGGAGTTTCAATGTGTAGAATCCTTTAAGAAGAAAATCTAAATCTGATGGGAAGGCAGTGAATCCAAGAGTTAAAAAACATTAACTCTTGAGTTTATTGCCCGGCATCGGGCCGCTTTGGACCCCTTCAGGCCCGCACAATTTACTTATGATTTAATTGGCCCTGAATGTTGCGCGACGCTCCATTCCACGCCTGTCCTGCTCCTACACGGCACAGTTAAATCATGATTTAATTCTTTCTGCTACACTATCCGGACCCGAGGCGACATATAAATCATGATTTAATTGTTCTGAATCAATGACCAAATCTGAAACAATTAAATCAACTCGAACAGTTGGCAAGAACGCAACAATTAGATCATCATGTAATTGCCTCGCAGGATCCTTGTTTCAGGCTCAAGGTTTAAGGTGAGATGCACGATCCGATGCTTGTTTGTCTACTCCATTGTGTGCAGGTGTGTCTACGGGACGCGTCCCTACTCGACTAGACGAGACTAGAGTAGACCAGAGTAGACGAGAGTAGGCTACACTATAGACTAGAACCGAGTAGACTAAACTAAACCAGTCTACTTATTTGGGCTAGCTTTCCCTGGACCGTGATAGGATTCAACTACATTACTGGTGGTTACCAAGAAGGACGCCAAATTCCACATTTGAATCATGATTTAAGGTGGTATCCCGCTAGTGTGGCGATCTACTTATCTAGGCTAAAACTCCTTGGACCGGGATTGTAACCCCAACTTCATTACTGGTGGTTACCAAGGACGAATTCGGCAACTAGATCATGATTTAACGTGGATTCCCGCTAGTGTGGCGATCGACTTATTTGGGCTATAAGTCTTTGGACTGTGATAGTAACCCCCAACTACATTACTGGTGGTTGCCCAGAAGGACGCCAAATTCTGCAATTAAATCATGATTTAATGTGACATCCCGCGAGCGTATGGCACACAAGTCTCTGGTAGAATATACTGGCACACAGGGAGACAGTAAACTCATGATTTAATTGTTTATTAGAGACATGCATACCGACACAATTACAGCCCGATTTAATTGTGTCTTTGGAAGGTCCAAGGTATGTCAAAACCGAACAATTAAATCAAGGTTTAATTTTATTTAACTTCTGGATTCATTGGTTTTCTGATGACCCCCTCTTTGGCACTCTGGCAGGCCACCCCGCAGCCAAAGTGCGCGGAGATCGCGAGAAACATTTTCCTCTAGAGGCGGGCATGCTCTGGTTGTTGGGTTCGCGGCTCCGATTTAGGGTTCCTTTCAGGGTTTAGGGTCTAGGGGTTCCCTTAAGGGTTCCCTTCAGGGTTGCCTTTAAGGGTTCCGTTTTTCTTGTGCCGATTACTTTTGCGGCTCGGTCCAGATCAGACTGCCTGTGCAGGATACATCATAAGGACCCTTAGTATAGTTCCCGCTACCCTAAACCCTAAACCCTTAGTATAGTCCCTATGAATACAGTCGTGTTACCTAAAGCAGTGGCAACTCAGACATGAGGCTTCCGGGTCACCCTAAAAAACCCCACACCGTCTTGAACCCTAGAACTAAAGCCCAACCCTACTTGGAGGGGCAGGGCACCTGGTAAGTAGGTTGTAAGTAGAGTTATAAGTACCCTAAATGGAGTTACCCCAATTATAACCGTACTTATAAACGACTTACTAAGTCCCCTGCACCTCCAAGTAAGCCTAGACTTAAACCCTAAACCCTAAACCTAAACCAAGGAGAGTCTGATTTGAAGTTGCGGGGTTAGGCATCCGTGTGGACACGAGAATTGCGCCAGAAGAGATGGTGGCACACACTAGGAATTCGGGTAGTGTTTTTCCAACTACAGTGGTTTCACCAAGTGACGATGGTATGCCTTTGCGGGCCTTAGTTAGTATAGTTCTGCTTGAAGATACCCTACAACTGTTCTTTAGCTTTGGAGTTCCACACCCTGTGTAAACTCCTACCGTACAATTCCTTTTTCAGCCAGCAACCCAAGTACTGTTACAGATCCCCCTAAACGGAGCCAACCCCCTAAAGCAAACTCTCACTTAAAGGATCATGGGGCTTAGTAACTAGCCTTAAGTAGGGCAACTATACTTATGACCACTTATAACGCCAACTAAGGTACTTATAACCTTACTTACTTAGTCCCATGACCCTCCAAGCAAGATGCACCGCCTGGGCCCTAATCAACCGCTGCAACCCAAACCCTTATCTCCTCAACCCTAAACCCCAAACCCTCACCCCTCAAAGCAAACCCTCAAGGTGCTAAAGGCCGGCCTGTCCCTGGAGCTGGAGAAGGCCCAGGCGCATCTTCCCCTAGTAGTAGAGTACTTAGGGGACTTAGTAAGTGAATTATAAGTAGGGTTATAAATGAGGCAACTCCTTTTAAGGGACTTATAACTCTACTTATAACCTACTTACTAGTCCCCTAGGCCTCTAAGTAGGTAGCCCTTAATCTTTTGGGTAGTATAGTGTCTATTTAATCCCTATATACCCAAAGAGGTTAACCTTTAGTTCCCCATGATACCCGACAAGTAGGTTCCAGTCGGAGGGTTTCGATTGAAACAAGGAAAGTTGGGACAATGGGGTTTGGGGGTTTGGGGTTTGAAGGTTTAAGGCTTTAAAGATTGAGGGGTTTAGTGGTTTAGGGTTTTAGGGTTCAGGAGTTTCGGGTTTAGGATTCGGGTTTAGGGCTGATTAGTGCTAGGATTCCTTCTACTGTACCACAAGGGTATGAGGATGTTTTTAAGACGGTGGTGCGGTTGTTGTTAGAACTTGAATAGGTTTGTGTGAACTTCCTTAAATCTTGACCCGTAAAACCCTAAGCCTCACTTGTAAGGGTTCTTGAAACCTTAATCCGATCCCTAAACCCTGAACCTCAAGCCCTTCCCTGGCGTTCGCTTAGACCCTAAACCCTGTACCAGTCTATACTTGAGCAAAATCCGACAACGCCGCTTGAGCGTTTCTGCAACAGTCTTCCTGACGTTGTTCAGGCGCTGGTTTAGGCCGACAGGCTTCACGAACATCAGCGACTACAAGCAAGAAGAGCCAGCTTTGCTGCCTTAACCTCGTCAAGCTCCGAGAGTGAGAAAAGTTGAGAGTTCTTCGTGCCTTGTCAGGCCGCTTTAATCCTTTCAGATATATTTTCCTTGGCTCGAAATTTTCTGCCGGTGCCTCGAACCCTAAATCCAAAATCCTGAATCCTTAAACCCTTAACCTAAATCCCTAATCCTTAATCCACGACATAATCCCTAAACACGAAATTCCTAAACCCTACACCCTAAATTCATAAACCTTAAACCTCAAACCCCTAAACCCTAAACCCCTAAACCCTAGTGCCCTCAAAAAGCAAAGCAGCCGGGAGGCCAGCCAGGAGGCGGACCGCGTCCACATCCTGAACTCCATCGCCGGCCCAGACCCCGGGTAACCCTGGTTTAGGGGTTCCGAGGTTTAGGCGTTTAGGGCTTTGGGTCTAGAAGTTTAGGGGTTCAGGGTCTCGGCGAACCGGGTTTAGGGTTTAGGGTTTAGGGTCTACACTTTAGGGTTTAGGGTTTAGGGTTTAGGGGTTTAGGGTTTAGGGTTTAGGGGTTCGGGGTTTAGGGCTCAGGGTTTAGGGTTCAGGGGTTCAGGGTCTCCGGGTTTAGAGATTTAGGGTCTAGGGCTTAGCGTTTAGGCTGTTAGGGGTTCAGCAGTTTAGGGGTTTGAGGTTTTGGGGTTTAGGGTGTAGGGTGAGCGCGGATGGACAAAATCCTGCATGACCCTAAGTATAGCATAGGCATAGTGTTGTAGTAGCAATGACTCTTCATAGTTTAGGTATGTAGGGTCATGCAGGATTTCGTCCGTCAGCAGTAGGAATGAAAGACAAAGGCAATCGGTTTGAGCAGGAGCTTAGGTTTCAGAGTTTAGGGTTTAAGTTAGGGCTTAGTTTTAAGGTGTGGGGTTTTGGATTGATATGTTGCGGTATAGGCACGGTGTCAGGAGATCCTGAATATGCTTTGACGTGTATTTCCCGGTTAAGGGTTGTTGTGCTTCCGCCTGCGTTCACAACAAGCAGACGGTCTAACAAGGGCTTCGAGTCTTACAGATGGGCTTTGCGAGTCGTCTGCGCAAGGACCGGCTTTCAGCAAATGGGCCTTCGGTATGTGCCAGATGGGAGTTTCCGAAAACAGGGGACCCTACTATGGTACCGTAAATAGTAGGATCCTTATTATAACGACCCAAAAATTAAAAATAAGGGACCCTAATTTTCGGAAACTCCCGGATGCCGTAGCATCGAGCCGCCAAGACTGCTGCAGAACACCGCCGTGCAGCGGCGTAGGTCGACGGTGAACCCTACTTAAAGGATCATGGGACTTAGTAACCAGGGTTATAATTAGGGTAACTATACTTATAACCCCAATTAGGGTACTTATAACCTTACTTACTAAGGCTCATGATCCTCCAAGTCGAGCACCTCCTGTTTATAGCATTGTCGGAGTTGGGTAGCGTTTCAGAAAATGCATTTAAGCCCCAGAAGGAATAGACATGTACATGTTTCATATTATCCCCGCGATGGACTTAGAACTTGCAACCCCAAGAGGAGCAGCATTCGTAATGTTTCGCCGTTAAGCCTTATACATTGCTGTCACTTGAGCCCTAAGCCTTAAACTCGTATAGATTCCTAACGAACCCCTTGAACGAGCTCGTTTTTTCAAGGAGCCCTACACCCGAATCTTTAAAGCCCCCAAACCGACACGCACATATCGAGAAGTTGAGAAGCGTACCAAGTCTTTTTTGTGAAAGCCCTAAACCCTTAAACTAACCCTTAAACCCTTAAGACCTAAACCCGAATCCATAAACCCTTGAGACCTAAACCCTTAAGCCCTTAAGCCCTTAAACCCTTAAGCCCTTAAACCCTCAAACCCTTAAGCCCTTAAGACCTAAACCCTCAAGCCCTAAACCCCTATAAACCCCTAAATCCTAAACCCTAAACCCTACACCCTTAAGCCTTAAGCCCTAAACCCCTATAAACCCCTAAATCCTAAATCCTAAACCCTACACCCTTAAGCCCTAAACCCCTATAAACCCCTATAAACCCGAAGCTGAGCCTTTCGTCTTCAGCTCTGCTGAGGCCGTTCCTTGGACGATCCGCCCTTGGATTCGCATCCGAGCCTTTCGTCTCAGAAGCTGCCCAGAGACTCCAAAACCCCTTAATTAAGGAATATACCTTAAACTATAGTAGGATCCTTAATATGATTTAAGGAATATTCCTTAATTAAGGGATATTGGAGTCTCTGGGTGTAGGGGGGTGGGGGGGCTGGGGGTTTAGGGTTTAGGGGTTTAAGGGTTCAGGGTTTAAGGAAAATCCTAAGTTGACTATAGTGCAGGGTTCAGGCTTTAGGATGTAGGGTCCAGGGTTTAAGGTTTATGTAGGGTTCAGGCTTTAGGGTATACCTTAACCCGGAAGAACTTAGCTTTTTGAGGACATATATAAGGATATCATAGTAAGGAACCCTAAAAAGGCAGGTAATTCAAGGTTAAGGTAGGGTTTATGGGGTTACAGCCAGGAGGTTTAAAATCTGGGGGTGTAGGGTTTAGGGCTATGGGCCATTGGGAGATCCGTTCTTCGGGCTTTAGATCCTGCGAGGGCTCTGGTGTTCCCTTCTCTGGGGCTTTAGGAATTAGGGCTTGGGGTTTAGGGTTCCTTAAAGGGTTCTATAAGTTTAGGGTTTAGGGTTCAGTAGTGGAGTAGGTAACCTTCAACCTTTTTTGGGTAGTATAGTCCTTATATAACCCCTCTATAACCAAGAAGGTTAACCTTTAGTTCCCCATGATACCCGACAAGTAGGGTTATGAGATATCTGCGGACGCCCCTTGAGATCCCGATTAGGACAACCTAAAATCAGCTCCTTCACAACAGCGCTAAAGAGCCCGTGATATAGCGGCCTTAATGATTAGAATAGGGTTTTGGGGCCCACTATACTGTAATTATGACAAGGAACCCCCAAAAATAGTATAGGTAATCATTAAGGCCCTTAGATCATAGAACCCTACTATCGATCCCTTATAGACCCCTTTAAGGAATCCGTTTAAAGGGACCCCCCCAACATAGTATAGGTAAGTATTAACCCTAAACCCTATAAACCTTAATTGTTAAGTTCACAACAGCCCGGCCAGAGGCTACACCCGTGTCAACCAGACTCTGCGGGGCATCTTCGCCGTGGCAGGCTCGGGGTTTTGGGTTTAGGGTTTAGGGTTCGGTTTAGGGTTAGGAGTTTAGGTTTTAGGGTTTTACGGGTTTTAGGGTTCTTGTTTCAGGACCATATCCACAGCTCACTAGTGTAGTTACCAAGAAAGGCCGTTCGACATCATAAAGCGCTCTTTGCGTCAAACGACCGTATGGAGCATTTTTCGGTTTTGGACGATATATAAACAGATTTGTCGAGTTGCGTGAAAGACGTGACGAAAACCGAATAAAGACAAACTCGATTGGATTTGTTTTGACAACAACCAGGAAAAATTGGATTTGAGTGAAGTTTAAATACTTAAACGGACGACCAAGCCAGATGACTCGACAAGCAGGCTTACAAATTTTCAGAAAGCATGACTGGCGAGATGCAAAAGATCCCGCTCGATATACGACAACGACGAACACATGCGTGCCAATATGTATACGAACACTCACAGAGCAGTACGTCGGCTGCAGACTTTTCCTCGCAGCACTCACGACATGTCGGTTCCGACCCAACGGAGGGCGGTTAGCAGGCAGTAATGCTGCAAGGCCCGCAAGCTCATGGTGCGAGGATGCGAGTGCTCGACGATCCGCCTCAGATCAAAAGGCAAACCTGATGCGTGAAATCATGCGTGAAATCTTGTGTGCGAATTACATATATGCGCGAGATGAAATTATGCATGCATGTACAGGCGAATTGCTTGCACTTGCCGACGAGATCCTCATCGAGGAAACAACTGTAGTAGCGGGACATGCATCGAACTTGCGACCCCAAAAAGCCTGGCGTAAGCCCTAAACCCAATCCTAAACCCTAAACCGTCAAGCCTCAACCCTCAACCCGAAACACTTCAGCCTAAACCCTAAACCCTTAAGCCTAAACCCACCCCAAACCCTAAACCCTGAACCTTTTAGCCTGGCTCCGCCCTTTTGCCGATCGCACGCGCTGCATATTTTCATCGGAACATGGCGGGTGAAGCTTCTAGTCCGAGAGGATTGCAGCCATAAGTGGTGCACCCCTTCAGTTTCTGCTTAAGAGCAGGGTCTTCTGTGTCTGTCATGGACATTCTTGCATGAGGTCGGCCCGGCCTCAGAGCAGACATGAACGTGGCAAGTTCACACCCAGGACTTTTGAGGTATATTTGGAAAAAAATTACAAAAATGTATGTTTTTGAACTTCACGCAATTTCACGCCCAGTCGGTCGTATAGAGCGCTCTATGTAGTGAATTTCACGCAATTTCACGCAATTTCACGCCCACTGGTTTTTGACGATCTCAAAACCCAGGGATTTTCAGGGTTGCATTTGCCGGCCACATGAATTTCACGCAATTTCACGCCCAAAAGGCTGCCGAGCTGCAATTTCACGGAATTTCGCGGCCCTTATAATATAGCCGAGCTGCAATTTCACGGAATTTCGCGGCCCTTATAAGTGCTGAGCTGCAATGTATTTAACGGGCCGAGCTGCAATTTCACGGCCTCGAGTTTCGCGGAATTTCGCGGCCCGGAGCTGCAATATATAACTGGCCGAGCTGTAATTTCACGGAATTTCGCGGCCGTGCTATAGCTGAGCTGCCAGAAATGTCGCGGTATGTAACCCGAGCTGCAATTTCACGGAATTTCGCGGCCCTGTGCGGAGCTGCAATATAACGGGCCGAGCTGCAATTTCACGGACTTTCGCTGCCCTTATAAGTGCTAGCTAGCTTACAAGCCGAGCTGCAATTTCACGGAATTTCGCGGAATTTCACGGAATGTAACGGGCCGAGCTGCAATTTCACGGAATTTCGCGGCCTAAGGCCGAGCTGCAATTTCAGGTATAGCCTGGGGTTTGGGCTGATCTATTAACACATACATATATGCAGATCGAGTGAATGCCGTCATGAGTGCCATTGTAAAGAAATGACCGGTTCAGGTTTCGGGCTGCTACTCCATGCGTGCTGTTTAAATTTTCGAGCCTTTAAAATCTACGGTGCGTCGCGTCTGTGCATCCATCTCACGAGCAGCAGAACTGACGTGCATGCATGCCAGTCCGTCGAAATCCGAGACGATCGCCAAGAAACATCTGTCGAAACGGAAAAAACGAAGTTGATAACAGAACTGACCTGCATGCATGCCAGTCAGTCTCCAAATATTATAATCGAATCCGAGACGATCGCCAAAAAACATCTGTCGAAACGGAAACAAACGAAATTGATATATATTGGTTCCGACTTATAGCCAAAATGCGCTCTATAAGTGCGCCCCTTAAGTGCGCCCCTTGACGTCGACCGACCTTTCTTGGTAGTTGTTGCGAAGGGATGCGGGCTATGTTCCACCAGGAGCCCTTTGTAGAAGCTTGCATGACTACCCGTATGACAGTTACAGTGTATCGAAGCGTTAGAGCCGTAGTCTCGGTTCATTTTGAGCAAGGACTGGTGGAGGCAGACGGCGCAGCACAGGGGGGCAGCCGGTATGTCAAAACGGATGTGCGGAGAGGACGATTCTACGTGCAGCTGAGAGAAGGCCATAATCGGTACAAATGGGGAGGAACTGTTGACAATGAGTCCGAAGCTCTGGCGGAGGCTACTCGCTTGGCGCAGGCCGCTCGGAAGAAGCCCCGGAGAGCACCCGGCCTGGAAGCGAAAGTCCTGGATGCTACGTCCAAATCGTGAGCCGGCAGGAGCATGTCCTGAGTCAGTGCCGGTGGGGCGCATGAATCCAGAAGCGTTTTCAGTCGACTCCGGAGAGCTTGCATCTTGTTTGTTGGTGCTTGTTATGCCTCTTTTATGGCGCGGGAGTTTAAGGTTTCGTGTGTGGGTGTTCTCTTGATTGAGGGTTGGGAAATTCCACGGGATATTAGGGCTCTTTGGGGCGCTCTGGTGCCTCTTGAGTGCTCGAAGAGTCAGGCAAAGGATCTAGGACTTAAGCTTTATAGGGTTTAGGCACTAAGGCTCACTTGATGATTAGGTTAATTATCATAAGGTTTGGGACTACAAGGTTTACGGTTTAAAGGTGTTATTGCTTGAAGTAGACGACTGATTAAATAGGCCCTTCTTGTTTCAGGACCATATCAACAGCTCACTACGGTTGATGATATAAATCCTGCATTACCCATAATAAGGAATATATGGGAACTATGGTATATTCCTTATTATGGGTCATGCAGGATTTGTATCATCAACAGTAGTGTAGTTAGTTGTTGTGCAGGGATGGGGGCTATGTTCCACCAGGACCCTGTGTAGAAGCTTGAATGACTACCAATGTTTTTCCTCAGGGCTCCTTCTGATAGTTACAGTGTATCGCTAAGCCCTGTTTTGATTATTAAGGCTCCGATATTACATTCCCATCGCCGTGTCTGCCGACCGGGGCTTTGATCCTCAAAAGCCTACTTGAAGGACCATGGGACTTAGTAACTAAAATTATTATTAGGGTGACTGTACTTATAACTACTTATAACCCAATTTAAGGTACTTATAACCTTACTTACTAAGTCCCATGATCCTCCAAGTAAGCCTCAAGCCTTCAATCTTGAAGCCAGAACAGGTAAACGCCAGTGCCTTGAACTCGAAGTATTCTTGTCCTGGAGGTATTGCAAGCCCAAACCGCTAAGCCCGTTTGCAAGCCCTTTACATGCTAAAACAACTTGGTCGGGGAATAGACTCTATGGGTTTAGAGTTTGTCTGGTTTGTTTAGCCAGTAGCTTGTGACACTCTGGTGGTTGCCCCTCAACCCCCAACCCCTACAGACTGAACGCCTCAAGTAGCTGCTGTTTCTGCGCACCCCCCCCCCCCCCCCCCCCCCCAATTCGAGTTCTCAGGCGAGCAGCAAAGTTCGACGAGCAGTTACCGGAGGTTTATGGGTGAGGGTTCCTGACAGAAGAGCAGTTGTCACAGGGTTCTGTAGGTTGCTTGCTGCCACGATGATCACAATGATGGTAGCAAACGGCAAGAACAGCAGCTGAGAACGACGCTGGTAGTGGCGACAATATCAAACTAGTTGGGTTCCGGTGTAACTGGACAAGGTATATCCACATCAGAAGCACAAGCAAGCATAGCAACACCCATATAAGCCTCAACGCCCGTAAGCTCAGGCCCTAAAACCCTAAACGATGCAAAACCGTAACCCGAAGACCTTCAACCCAAACCTGAAACCCTCAGCCTCAAAACCCTCACCCCTAAACCCTCATATTGTAACCTTAAAAAGAAGCCCAAAGCCATCTCCAGCAGGTTGGAGACAGGCCGTCGAGCGGGGTATCGTGGAGGCATGGCGGGCTTGGTTTTTTTAAAGCTCTGTTTTGTTGGCTTAGGGTTGAGGGTTTAGGGTTTAGGGTATATGATACAGGGTTTGACAGGTTTCCCTATCGGATTGGATAGGGTCCGGCTTGTTGGATAGGAGTTCGCAGGCCCTACTTCTTCAAGAGGCCGTAGAAGGCCCATGGCTCTCCCTGGTCCGTAATTATTCTCAGCTGAATCGGAACCTACTGCACGAAAGCAGGATCTTCAACACAACAACCAAGTATGCGAACAGACGAAATAGCAATAATAACAAGTAGCGCCAGTTTCGCTGAGGGTTTTAAGCATGCCAATACAACTGAGCACTACCAACATGAAGCCTGAGGAATGTACTGAACCCAAGCTCGAATTTACTGTGAACCCGAAATACCCCAAAGGCCTATGTGAGCGCAAGCTTACAACACTCCTAGACACGAAGAAGCACAAAATCAAACACACACGAACCTAAACCCTAAACCCGAAACCCATAGGGCCTAACCCAAAAGCCCTACATCCTACATCCTGAACCCTAAGTCGTAAAGCCTAAACCCGGAAGACTTAAACCCTAAACTGTCAGGTTCTTAGTAGGGAATTGGGGAATGGATCCCTATGATAGTCGCCTAAGGTTAGGGAAAGTAGTCCCAACAACCGATTCCCACATTCCACACGAAGAACCAGACAGTAAACCTAAAACGCAAAAACCGCTAAACCCTAAAACCCCTGTAGAACCCTTATAGGAACGAACTCGAAAAGGAGCCCTTAAAGGAACCCTAAACCCTAAAGCCAGAAACCCTAAACCCTCAACCTAAGACGCAAGAGACAGGCTTTGGACTTGACGACCGTCCTCGCCCAGGACGAGCACCGGACCGAGTTGAACTTGGACTTCACAGGCGCCCATCTTTAGAGCATGTAGGGTTTAGAGTTTAGGGTCAGGTGGTTTAGGGTTTTCGGGGTTTCAAACTTTAGGCTCTAGGGTTAGGGTTAAGGGTACTTGGACCATTAGGGTCTGAAGATATGCCAACATAGGCAGGGTTTCGGAGGAAGAGGCGGTGCTGCCGGGTAGTCTGGGGTGGTAAACAGGGTTTGGCATTGACATCCTAGTAAGTAGGTCATAAATAAGTCAAGTCGGGGGTTTTGCAAGGATGATGACATGGGAGACATACTGGGGGTTGTGTTGAACCCTGAGTCTAAGCCCCGCACGCGCTACACCCTAAACTTTGTACTTATAAATAAGCTCGTATCCCTAAACCCTTAGCCCAATATCACGGTCTGTCATAGATTCTTTCGATTTTGCTACCTACGATCTTTGTCTCACCCAATATCATATCCCTAAACCTTTAGCCCAATATCATAAGATCTTATCCCTAAACCTTTAGCCTAACATCATGGGATCTTATCCTCAAGCCCTGAGCCCAGTATCATAGAATCTTATCTCTAAGCCCTTCGTCACCAATATCATGTCATAAGCTGCCACCCCGAAGAGGTTCGATACTTGTCTCGGATGCCGCCGCCCTGGAGATCGCACGCGGTCTGCCCCCGAAACTGGCCACCCGGTCCGCTTATTGGAGGCTTCGTACCTAAAGCAATACAGGCCTTAATAAATAACTACCTATACTATTTTGTTGGCTCCTTATGATAACTATAGTATATCAGGCCTCCAAACCTTATTCTAATTGTTAAGGCCCCTATATATATATATATATATATATATATATATATATATATATTAGATGCCAGAAAGTTTGAACATCGATGTCGAAGAATAGGGGATCCCAGCACTAATCATCCTACACCCATGTAATCCATGTTCCAACTTGTCGGGCGTTCACTATAGAGTTTCGTCAAGTTTTTGGGGACCTGGCAGGTTTCTTACCCAAAATTTCATAAAGGTTCTGAGAAACTTATAAGGTTTCTAGAAGAGCTGTACAGGTTTCTGTTGTTCTGTGCTGGCGTGCTGTTTTGCCGTACGCTGTAGCGGTTCGGGATTTAGGACTTTAGGGCTGGGGTGTTTCAGGGTTGAGGGAGGAATCTTAGGGGTACTTTGAAATATTTACAATTTTTGGTTATTATAATCCCTAAGAAACAGCTAAAATTGTAATTTTTGCTAGGGTTCTAAGTTCAATATAGGAGTAGGGGAGTGAATTTGGTTGAAGTTGTGCTTTCCGAAACAAGCCCGGAACGGGGCGTTTGATCCCACAGCCCCGTCTCACTCGGCGGACGTCATCGTGATCGCCACCTGGTTCATGCTCCGAAAGATTGAGGTGGCGGCGGCGGTCGTCCATGATATCGTTGTGACTCCGGGGCTGGTGACCCAGGAACTGCCATTCCACAAGACGGCCACGGGCGGGGAGAAGATCTCGACCTGCCGCTCCCTCAGGTAGGCCTGCGGGGCTACCACACACCCACTGTGTCCGGTGCACGCGGTTTTCCGCCACCGGCTGCCCCTCTTCCTTGACGTGCTATGAGAGCCGGGTTCTGTAGGCTTATCGGGATTGTAGGGTCTGGGTTGAGAAGGTTTTGGGGGTTGCAACAGTTTAGTAGTTTCCGCAGCTTGCAAGGCTCTTGTATTACTGTATCTGCACATGTGTACAGCTTATCCGCTCATCAGCTGCCACGAGTCTTTCCAAAATCTGTCTTGGACGTAGAGTCACTTTTGCTTCGCCCTCTGTTTCGTCATGTGCCTTGTGCCTTGAGCCATTGGCCCGCCATACTGAACGAAACCGGATGCCATGCTACCCTAAGCCCGCCTTGAGCTGGCATCTCATGTAATACTCAAAACTATAGTAGGCATCATCTTTTTTCGATTCGGGGTTTGGGGTATGCTAGACTATAGCCATATATTGATAGGGACTTAACCTACGGGACCCAAATTTTCTTAAACCCAGGCAAAACCTAATAAAAACTATCGATATCTTGAAGGGGCCCTTAGAAGGCATACTGATACCAATAGGCAGACCCCAAATCCGAAACACCTAAACACGTAAACCCTATCCCTTAAACGGCCCTAAACCGCTGAAGCCCTATACCTGAAAAGCCCTAAACCCTAAAGCAGAAACCCTACACCCTCAATGCCTCAAGCCCTGCACCCTTTACCCTTAAACCCTAAACCCTGCACTCTTAACTTAGGAGTCGTTGGGGATCAGCTGCCGCTGGTGCACTGAGATCAGCCGCTTGCCTAAGCTTAACCTAGAAGTCCACCTGTAGGATCAGTCATACCCTACCCCTTTTCAACCGTTCTTACTTTTTCTATGATATAGATCCTACACATAAAACTACTGTTGATGGACAAAATCCTGCATTACCCCAACGACCCTAAACTATGGGAATTATGGTATATTCCTTCTTATGGGCAATGCAGGATCTTGTCCATCAGCCGTATGTAGTCTTTCAACTGTGGTGCGGTGTGACCCTCTGGGCAGTTACCAGCAGGATCCTTTGGGGAGGGTAGTTCAAGGGTGAGGGTACATGGGAGCCTTAGGGAACCGAAGTAAAAGGCTTTTAGGGTTGAGGGTTTGGGGTTTAGGATGGGATCTTTAAGGGTGCAGGGTTTAGGGTTTGGGGTTTAGGATGGGATCTTTAGGGAACCGAAGTAAAGGATTGCCACGGAGACATGCAGGTTACTAAGAAAACGCACCTTCTGTGACCTCCCTCCCTCAAGGATCCGTTAAAAAACACTTATTAATACACCCTGAACCCTAAACTTATGTACAGAGGATTGCTGGTTGATGGGTGTAGTGCCTTGTCCTAGGGTTTGGAGGGGTAACTGGGCTTCTAGCCATTTACTCCAGTTGCGGTTGACGGGTTTGTGTTTAGGATCTATAGGGCAGTTGTTGGAGGTTTTCACAGTTTACAGGGCTTACACAATCCATTCTTGCTGGACCCAAGTTGCCCAACTTATGCACTTTCTTCAAACTCTGGGTATTTCTAGGTTCTATATTTGGTCTATTTGCTGATAATCTGCAAACTTCGAGAGCATTGGGCTTCAGGTTCAGGGTTTGGGGGCTCCAGTGCGGAGAATAGGAGCTTGTGCTACTTAAAGGATCATGGGACTTAGTAACTAGGGTTATAATTTGGGTAACTATACTAATAACTACTTATAACCTCAAGTAAGGTACTCATATATCCTTACTTGCTAAGTCCCATGATCCTCCAAGTAGGTTAACCCGGCCCTCTAACTTCGAGGCCCTGTGCCATGCAGAACTAAGCCCATCACCCGAAGCCTCCTACTGCGAGATGGAGGATGCCCTGATTCTTCACTTAGGGGTACTTAGAAATGATTTTTAATTTGGGTTTTTTATAACCCTAAAATAATAATTTTTGCTAGGGTTCTAAGTTCAGTATAGCCAGGGAGCTTAGGACCCTAAACCGCAGGCTTAAACTCAGGCCCCTAAACCCAAGCTGAACCTCTCAGTTCTGAACCCTAAACTCTAAACCTAGACCCAGGTTCCTACACCGCTGAACCATTCTTAAACCGAAGCGCTAGACCCCGGACATGTGAGGGGAACGTTGTCTTAAAGCTCATAGTAGCCCCCTTTTAGCATCCCTTTGAAGGAAGCCTGAGTCTTATAGAATCCCTTTGAAGGAACCCTAAACCGAACACCTTAAACCCTAAGCCCTAAGCCCTAAACGCTAAACCCCCTCTGCAGTTCGCTTCGACAGCAGTCTGCTGTGGTAGCTTGAAAGAGAGTCAGTTTTGCAGCCCAGCGATGGATTGGGAACAAGTCGTGGATGCAGCGTCTCCGTCGAGCTAGCCAGGTCTTCCACGGCGGTCATCCGCACGGGGAGCGCAATCATAGCTGCGTTCATCGTGACAGGAGCCATTCTCCTGACTGCCGGTTTGGGAGCCTGGTTGGGCCCTAAACTTTTCCTTCGTCTGTGCGGGGCTGAGCCCGAGGCCACAGAGGCAGACGATGAAACAGACAGCTGTGACAGCCCAGAGCCACAGCCAAGGCAGACACCAGAGGGCGAGATTTGCGGCTACTACCAGCCGGTGGCTGCGGCAGCTAGCAAGCTGCAAAAAGCTGCGAAAAAAAACGATCTCTTGTCTTTGGTGGTTTTGCAGAACGTCAGTTCAAGCCTCTGCCAAAATCCTGCATGTGCAGCCAGGAAGGTTCAGGCACAGGCAGCCCAGTACTTCCCTTCCTGCAGGAGGCTCCTGGTACATGGGTGGTTGTCAAAATTAAGGGTCCCTTTTTGGGTCCTTACTATAGTACGGCACTTAATATTTAGGGTACCTAAAAAGGGGCCATAATTTTGACCCCCCCCCGGTGTCATGCCAGGCCAGTCTTCGTTTGGTGGCGGCATGCAGCAATGATTTGCGTGCAGACCAGCTTTTTGAGGCGCCTACTTGGAGGATCGTGGGACTTAGTAAGTAAGGTTATAAGTACCTTAATTGGGGTTATGAGTAGTTATAAGTATAGTTACCCTAGTTATGACCCTAGTTACTAAGTCCCATGATCCTTTAAGTAGACGTCAGTCCCTGGAGAGAAGCAATCCAGCTCCAAACCCTAAGCCCTAAGCCTTATCGAAACCCTGGGCCCAGGTCATGATTTTCTCATCCAGCTTGCACCGGCCCTTCCGGCCACCCTGACTCGGCTTTCGTTGCAACTCGACCGAGCGGCGATTTAGGGGTCTTCGAGGCTTTTCGATGTAGGGCTGAGCGTTCGGGGTAAGGGTGTTTGGCTGGAAAGATTCATTAAGGACTTGGGGTTTACCTCGACCCTACAAAACCTTCCTTTTAAGGGCTCCCTATTATTATGTCCTTATATAAGTCTTTAAAAGGGTAGGTTATTTTGGGCTTAGGGCTTCGGGAGTTTAGGGCGAGTCTAGGGTTTGGGGGATTAGGATTTCCAGCTAGGGCTTTGGGGGTTTAGGGTCATGATCACCTGAGTTCTATTCCATAGGGTGTTTACATTAGGGTTTTGGGCTTGACACCCACAACCTAAACCCTTCCAACCCCTATACCCTAAACCTTATCAAGGTAGTGCAGGTTTTGCCCAGACCATCCATAGTTTGGGGTCCATTGGACCTACACTCTAGCTAGGTGGCACTTTGGGAAACTGCTTATCTCCCGATGGTTCCTATATAGGTACCTATAAACTCTAAACCCTAAACCCGGTACCTATTCAATAGTTTGAAGGGCCGCAAGGGACTCTGATCCTTCGGGAATTCGGGCTTTAATTAACTTTTCGGGTTTGTAAGTGGCACTGTGCTTAGGCAGACCCCCAGGCGGATGACCTATTTTTGCCCAGAGAGTTGCCACCTACTACATCCCGCAAGCTGTTGGGAATGCGTACTCTGGCCTGAACCCTAAAGCCTAAACCCACCTCCACCCAGACACCCCGATACCCCTTAATTAACGAATATAGCTTAAATCATAATGCTTCTATGAAGCCCTATATAATTTACGCCATACTCCTTAATTAAGGGGTATTGGGCTCTCTGGGGACCCTAGAATGGAGCACCTTTATTGGATAATCAGTCTTACGGTTAGGACCCTGTCGCAGCAAAATATAGAGGCCCAAAACATACGATACATCCTAGAGTCCAATACCCCCAAAACCTACGCCCTGAACCCCAAGACCCTCAAGCTCTAAACCCTAAATCCCTAAACCTTTAACCCTAAATCCCTCAAGTTCTAAAACCCTACACCCTGACGAGTTGAGAAGGAGCTTCGGGTTTGCCGCGAAGAAGATCGCCGGTGTGCCTCGGAACGAACTATGAGGGCTGGAGGAAAAGCTGAAGGGTGCATGTACCCAAATGGGCTTGCTTTAAGGTTTCCTATAAGTGTGCTATAAGGGTACCGGGTTTAAGGGTCCATGTACCCAAATAGTATATACTTTGGCCTTAAAGTAGTCCCTAAAAAGGTCCTTTGGGCCCCAAGCATATACTATTTGGGTACATGGACCCTTAGGGAAAAGTTGTTGCTTTAAGCGAGGATGGAGGGGGTGGGCGCTCTTCAAGCTGTAGGGTTTAGGTGTAAACTAGGGTTTGTATCCTCATCCTCGTAATGGTTCCAAGCCTTCAGATGTGGGTGGTGTGGGGGAAATTCCTTACGGGTGTGGTAATAGAACAACATGGCTGGTTACTCTGCGAGTTACTATGGGGGTTGGGAATACTCAGTAATAACATGCCCTGTGTTTTCTCCATATAGATATATTGTTATACTAACCCCACATAAACAATAACATTCAAACATGCTCTATCGTCCTTTGAGGTCGATAGATTATCCTTCCCGTCTATCCCAACCAACAGCTGCTTCGTTGAACAGTCAAATCCCTCGCAGAGGCCCCGTCACTATTTGTTGTTGTAGACCTCTTACTGGATGAACCATGTCTTGAAGGGCCTTAACTGTTAGGATGCTGAAGTTCATCAAGAGGTGTCTACGTTAAACCCTGAACCCAATTATTCTCACTTGTACTGTAGGGGGCCTTATGAACAAGTAGCCTGAACCCGGAACCCTGAAGCCTAAACCCTGAACCGTAAACTGCTAAACCCTGAATCCTAAAGTAGAGTACTATAGGGGCCTAAATAATCACCAAAACTGTTTTGGGGGGTTCCTTACTATCATTATAGTAGAATGGGCGCCAAAACCCTAGGCCCCTATATTATAGTACCTTTATAGGCTCCTTATAGTAACCCTGATAGACCCCTTTAAAGGAACCACTCCAATTGCTGGTCTACTGTTTGGGGCCGCAGCCGCTGAGGAGGGCCTCCTAGCTTTGAGTCGGCAGCTCCCAAGGACCGCACTTCCCTGGGTTTGGAGTACCCGGTTTAGAGTTTAGGGTTTAGAGTTTAGGGTTTAGGGGTACCATACTTGAATACTTTTTTTGGTACCTGTTCCTTAAAGGAACCATTATGAAATCAAAGTCTATACTTTTGTCTCCCTGGTTACTTCAAAGTCCAGCTTCGTCCGTTAGGGGTCTTTCAGTTTAATGGTTTCGGGGTTTAGAGTATAAAGTATAGGGTTTAGGGTTCAGGATGTAGAGTATATCGGCTTTCAGTTCAAGGGGCTTAGAGGTTTAAGCTTCAGGGTCTTTAGGGTCCAGGGCCCTCCCAATCCTTGAAACCTTAACCATGCATGAAGCTGTGTAAATCCAAATCGCCCTTTGTGAACGCTTGCTTTTGAACTTTGGCCTTCAGGGATTTGAAGTCTTATTAGGGCTTCCTGCCGCGGTGTTCACTTTTGGGTATTTTGGGTCTTTATTTTGTTGTGCTTGGGGGTTGATTGTGGGCGCTGCGTTTTAGGGTTGGGGGTGGGGATTTGGTGGGCTTGGTGGAGGGTTTAGGGTTCCTAGGGCTTTAGGGTTTAGAGTTTAGAGAAAGGCCTTGGCTCCTGTGCTGTATTGACTGAAGATTCTTCTGGAAGTCCACATCTTCGGCAAGCTTCTGAAAGGCTAGGTGAGGGGTTGGGAGATTGAGGCTTAAGGCTTTGGCTTAGAGTTTAGGGTTCTGAATCTGAATTTGATCGTTAAGCGCTACACAAACTCCTGTTGACAGCTTTCGCGAAGGCTTAAGCATGGCTCGCTTTCTGTTACTACTGCAGCTTTTTCAGAATTAACCGTGTCTAGGGCAAACAGAAACACAGATTCCGCACGCCTCAGGGGTCACCTGTTGAAGAGCTCGCAGTGCAGGAGTTTGCGCGAGCTGCATCTAGATTTCAACGACGGCTACCGGCTTGGCACGGATTCGGCCAAGGCAAGCGCGTCTACATGCTTGCATTTTTAGTGACTATATAAGCAATATATATATATATATATGTATATATATATACACATGTATGTATGTATGTATTTTTTTATGCAATTATGTACGGTCGTATGTATGTATGTCAATGTATGTGTGTATGTGTAAGTACATACATGTATACATACACACATGTATGCATATATGTATACACGCACAAACATTTTATAGGCAGATATTCACATTCATCTTCAGAGAGCATCCAGTTGAGTCCACGTGGTCAGGCAATTGGCGAAGGGATGCCGCCAGCCTTGGAAGTACTGAGCATGGGCTGCGCGTCAAGAATCCAGACTTTGGACAGCTTAGGGTTTTGGGTTTTTTCAGTGGTTAGGGATGATAAGGTTTAGGGCTCTTCGGAGTTTAGGGGTTTAGGGTTGGGAGTCTTTAAGAGTTTAGGGTTCAGGCTTTAGAGTCTGGAGTCTTTGAGTTTGGGGTTTAGGGCTCAACGGTTTGGAGTCTGGAGTAGTTGCCTCTGTTTTGGTCGACCAAGGTTTAAGTATATGTCGTGGGATCCTAACCATGACTACTTGCTTAGACAAAGACGCAACTACGACGTAGACTATTAGGTCAGCCCTAATCTTCCCTAAATCCTTTGAGTTGAATCTGTTTAGATTTATTTACCCTTAGGCTCTAAGGGCTCATATCTTAAGGTTTCTGGGCCCAAAGACCATGCTATATCAGGCTGTTGGGCTATTTTGAGCCTTAGGGTTAGGGTGCAGGGATGGCAGTTTGGGTGCTTTAGGAGTTTGAGGCTTAGGGTTTAGGTGCTTAGGTTGTAACTTCAGGGGATGGGTAGCCGTGAACCTCCAGATGGCCCAAAGTTGGTCTTGGCGTTCTTCTGGTTGGATCTTAGGACTTTAACTTTTTGGCTTTCTATATGAACTCTAATAAGGAGGCTAAAAGTTTAACTTTCAGGAGGGGTTCAGTAGTCAGCTAAGTGTTATAAATTGAGTCCAATGCCCTAGCCTTTGCCAAAGCTCACAGTCATATTGAGCTTACTCCTTTACTGTGTATATAGTCCTTATCATACTCATAGATAACACCAAAGCCTTTTTCTGAGCCAAGGCCCCTATTAGTGGATCCAACGGCTTTAAGTCATAAACCGGCTACGCCCTCAACTTTTCGTCGGCGGGTGCCTCCCACATCCTCCCACCCTAAACCTTAAACCCTAACAGACCCTGGCCTCTAAAAAATGAACCTTAGACACTAATTAAACTTTAGTGTCCAGGGTGTAGGGTTTAGTGCTAGCGTTTAGGGTTCATGGTCAATCGCCATCCCCTCCTGGCTTATCGCACAGGGTCGAAAAGACAAATGGCCTCCAACCACAGCAAACGCCCAGGGCTTCAGTTATCTGAGTGATGGACTACTGGCTTACGTAATACAGGGTTTAGGGTTCAGGGTTTAGGGGTAATAGCAATAACCTACAACTTGGGTACTTGGGCAGCAAAGCCATATCCTGAACCATTAACCCCCTGACCGTTCTCTAAGCCGCTACACACACCTTGTAAGCACTAGAAATCCAAAACCCTCTAGATGCCCTACCCCCTAGCAGCCGTATGAACTTTACAAGCGAACTAAACATGCGCGTAGCAAAGGCTGAAACCCGAAGCCCCTACAGCATAGTCCGTACATGGCGAGGTTATCATCCCTCAACCCTAACCCTCAAACCCCAAACCCCATAGTCCCCACAACCCGATATCCGAGAAGTGCCCTTAGCCCTAAACCCTAAACCCCAAACCCGACATAAACCCTTTGCCGTACATAAACCCTGAAGACTACACCGTACCTTAACCCTGAAGAACATACCTTTTTAAGGACTGGTATAAGGAAATCATAATAGGGAACCGGAACCTTAAAAAGGTAGGCCATGCAGGGTTAAGGTA